GAGAAAGCACGAGAATCTGGGAACCATATATCACACTAGTGTCTGCTACTGATTCTCCAGTCACCATGAATGCAACCGAACGCTACTATCTTGAACTAAAGCCGTGTGAAAAACGGCAGGTCAACCACTGGAATACGGTGCTGGTGTGTCGGGATAACAACCGCTGGTGGCTGGGTTACTTGCAGGATATTGACGGCGATCGGTTCCTCGTCGACTTTGACTCGATCACGATCAGGTCCGAATGGATTCATTCCCGACATCTTTGGACACACCACTTCTACGACGCTGTACAGGAGTTTGCATATGACACGAATCTTCACGTGGCGCTGCGTGATGGAGATTGTGAGGAGAGAAGCGGCTCATGTACAGCGACAAAGTCTTTCAAAGGATTTCAACACTTTGCGCCGTGGTGCAGTGGTACTGCCCACGCGGATCTAACGACGTAGCCGGAGTTGGTTTCCCCCATCGGTGCATTTTTCGGCCGTTTCTCGGTTCGCGCTGCTTTTCAGAGCTTTACAACGTAAAGCTCTGAAAACCATTACTGTTCAGCGGCAACCCCAAGTGAAGCGGCACATTGTCATTGAAGTCCAGCCGATTTCTGTAGACGAATCTCTAGACTGCGAGATCACCGCAGATCAGTGCAACCTTGATTACAGACTCGTGGCGATGTTTGAGCAGACTGTTTCCCTGTGTACGCGCACCCTGTCCTTTGTTGACACGGAAAAGAATTACACCCACATGACGCAGCTGATGACATCGTTTCCTTGGAAAATGTGGGCGACCGGCGACGCACAAGGTATTACAAACAAACGGCATCCGCTTGAAGCGAATCATCACGAAACACTGCTTTGATAACGCCTTTGCGCCGGGATACTCGTTTTTGGGTCTGTTTAAAAATCAGCTGACAAATATGTACGAATGCCGGGTGCTACCGGAGCTACCGAGCGTGTGTGACGAGATCCTGCTAATCAATTACACTGCATCCGACCCGAGCTGCAGCCGGCGTCTGGTGATGGACTTGTGCGAGCACGATGATTCGCCGTGGCCGGCTGATCTTACCCTCCGGCCAAAGTCAGACTATGGCACACTACCGAATGTCATTATTCCGTTTCTGCGGTTCTACTGCACAGCAGGGACCGTTGAAATGCGCCGACGCTTTTTAGCAGCCGTCAACGACAACTGTGCGGACGTCAGCGCGGAGGACTGGGAAAAGGTCACGGCGGTCCATGCTGCATGCTGGTAGGCTGCAGACGCTGGCTTACCCGGACGAGTGGACCGGCATTCGCCAGCTTCTCCAACTGTGAGTATTTCCGTAATTTCAAAGTAGACGAGCGTTATGGCCATGTGTCTTTTACAGCACAGTTTCAACCAGATCGGGTAATAACCAGACTTTCTGTACACCATACTGCATTTAAACGTTTCGCCCATTTAAACGTTTTGTTTGCCATATCTCGGCAACCGGATGTTTCGAGCGCAGACGGTTTCCAGAACAAGTATCTATACAAATCATTTAGCTTTAAAATGACATAAAGGATTACAAAAAAGTGATTCGGAGTGCGCGAAAGCGAAAGTTTTAGTGCATGTATCCCATTTTTTACACTGTATACCGATCCATTTTCCTTAAAGAAAGTTAGTCTGGAAACAGAGTGCACAAGAATACGGTAAAATACTTGGAATGCAAGTGATTATGGAACTGATGGTTTCCGTTAGGTGTCGTTTCAAATACTGAAGGCGGTTCACATGCTTTGGGATTCGTTTATGACGGACTTCGTGGATCGTATCTTTCTGCAAACTAAAGATAACGAATTCGTCCTGCTTATTGTTCTCGGTGGTTGGAGTCGCCCGCTAACGTCGTACTACAGTACATATGCGCTCGCCGTGGCTGCAAACTCCCCTTGCATAGCTCATCCACATCAGGGAAGGTTTCAGCTTAATTACGTTCTTTAGCTTTAGCTTACCACTGGTTAGTGTGGAATTTGAATCTGACATGAGCAGCCGTAAGTGCTACCAATGGGAATTAGACTAGGAAAATGCACTATGGCGTGCATAGGCAGACCGGAGCGCAGCTTACGGTTAGTTGATTAATTAACGTGATGTACCAGCAGCCATTATCTTTTTCAGTTGTCTTCGTACACATTTTTTAATGGAAATGTCGTCATAAAGAATCAAAACTTTGCAACGTCCGTAAAACTTCAGAAACAGTTCCTATATGCCCGTACCATGAAACGTAATCAGAGGAAAACCCGTCATTTCTCCATTGTGCGAGCTCAGACAAACTGAAACCCTACCGACTTGTACAAATAACGAGTACTAAGCACATTTCGGCATGTGGACGTAACCGGTAATAATACACAAAAAAACGCCGGCCGGACATTTTCATGTGTCGCCTATGCCACCATGAGAGCAGCAACCCTTTCCCAGAATGGTATTAAACAGCATGGGATGGCCTGCAAGAAAAAGCTGATTTTGAGGTCATTTTTTGACCTCTAATTCTATAACACTCCTTTAAGCGTTTCGTAGCCTAAAAATTGCATTTTAATACTTCAGCTTAATCTTTATGTGGCACTCTCAAGCAACTGTAATTAAATTTCAATATTTTCTTCTTAACAGCTTTTTCTCATAACCCGTACAAAGGTATAAAGGTGCAGATAAACATGCATTTTTCGGGGTCACCTTTAGAGAAAACGACTTATTGGTGTTGGTTTGTTACGGAAAAGCAGAATCTTCTCTTTGCCCAACAAAAGGGTTTATCGTGCTTATTTGCTACGTTTCCTGCCACTCCAATGCCCAGATTCAAATTTTGTGTAACTGGTGACCTCTCTAAGGTGCACAAACTTGACCAAAGCGTTTTCACTGAAAAATTATTCCGAAAATTATACAGAGAGGGGTTCTGCGGACATTATTGGTGATGTGCAGAATTAGTACAGAAAGGTATTGGGCAATAAAAGGGATGTTATTGCCGGAATGGCAATAAATACCGTAATTATCGAATTATAAGCTCCCCCCGAAACAAAAGCTCCCCCCGTAATTAGAGCCCACCCTTAAGGTCATTTGAAAGTTATAAGCTCCCCCCAAAATAAAAACCAATAGGCTTAATTAAATGCTGCATAGCCCATATTAGACAATGCCAAAAAAGTTAGTTTGAAAAATTGAAGCCCCCTCCGAAATACAAGCAAATGCCCGTAATTGGATCCCACCCCGTGAGGCGTTCAAAATATTTGTAACCCTGGGGCCATAATTCGATAATTACGGTAAGAATTCTTTATATCAAGAGCGAAAGATTGACTTGTCAATTCAAAAACGATAACAACCTGCTTCATGTTTCAATGATTGAAACGGCTTGAGAGAAACCTTAAGATTAGCGACGGAGTTCGCCGAAGTTATACAGATGGTAAAAGCACGTGCGACGTGCTGTACCAAATGGTAAAAGCATGTGCGACGTTTGCATTCAGTTAGTTGTTTTCTGGCAACAATGTCCACGATGCCAAACCCCAGTGCCCGGCTCTTCAGAAGGGCTGATAGCAGCCTAAATAGCGAACGTTGATCCAGATACATGCTATACGATAACACGCCAAAAGCTAGTGCTCCTTTGAGCTTTCGGTGTGACCTTTCTGTAAAAATCATTTTTTACATCCTTGCATGACGCCAATCCTCGCTTCCTTGTATTACGGTACCTCCTATTTCCTTATATGACGTATTTTTCACTTTCGTAACGGACAGACAGACGGACAACTTGATTTTGTCTGAATTAGAGGACCTTGGCTGCCTCCGGTCGATTATTGCACTTCCTTATGCCGCCCCCTCACTTCCTTATATGACGGCATTTACTTCCTTGTATGACGTAATTTACTTCCTTGTATGACGTCATTTACTTCCTTGTGTGACGTCATTTCTTACTTCCGTAACCGACAGACAGACAGACAATTTTCAATTTTGGCTGAATTAGAGGACCTTCGCTGCGCTCCGGTCGATTAAGTACGGGTTGGTTGTTTTAGCAATGATGCCGCAAAAATATTATTCTGAAACCTCAACAAAGTGATCAGAGTGGAAAAAAAGCGTACCCATAGTTCTAAGAGCTGGTTTTCTAAGTGAAAGCGGATATTACAGGCCATGGAGCTTATTATCAACCTGGCGATAGAAAATGCCTTATTTCGTTGCAGAATAAGGGGAATCTTCATGTTTAGCTAAGCGTTATACGACACAATATAGCCATCGTCTCGTGATGTCTGTGTTGATAATTTAAACGGTTTCATGACGGAAAACCGTTTGGAATCGATGTACGACATATCGATCTGTGGATTCACGTAGTACAGAGAAGCGTGTAGGTTACCTAACCAAACTACTAATAACACTGCTGCTGAGAGAATGTATGTGCCTATAAATATTCATTTCCGAAATTGCCGGTATCGCCTGGTAAAAACAACCGGAATATTAAAAAATCGATAGTCGACGGAGTTTGTTGTAACGGGGTGTTGGACGCGGTGCTGCTTTTTGGACAGCTTTTTCGTGTTCTCGGTACAGGGCTCATTTCTCATCCCGCAGTTCCCGCTGCTATTATTATCAGTACCTAATCACTCGCGGTACGTACGAGTACGCTCGTTGACGAATTCTTGCTTAAATTACGCTTGTCGTTTGTCATAACGGCACGAGAACGCAAAAATAAACGGAAAACTACGCACCAAACACCGCATACCTATACAGACTGTAGCAAGTGCTAAAAGGAAGTGTTACAGCATTAAAAAAAACAGTTAAATCTCGATCCTCCCACAGGTTAAAAAACGGTACCACAGCGGTGCACGTGGCAACTGCGGCATGTTGCGCAAAATAATCAATACAATGCGTAAAAAAGCGAAGAAACGCACAACCACGGGGCATATTTTGGTCACTGCTTTCTTCGGCTTGTTGATTCTGTTGTTTTTTTAACTGCCACGGTGCAGCCGGATGTCATCTCAGCCTGGGAGCCAAAATCCATTATAATCAGACGTCCGCATATAAGTACAGTAATGCATAGCGCACATAGTTATCGACGTATCAGATTCAGGAAATGCAGTAGAGTAACTGTTGGACGGTTTATTTTCTCAGGTTCCTTAGCTCCGATCTGCTGTTGACCGTTCCGTTGCAGTGGAAGCGAACGATGCGTGTTCCGACGTGCGTGGAGGCGATGGTGGCGGTGACCTTTATCGGTTTCTTCAGCGGTGCTCCTGTAGCACACAGCGGCGGCTTCGAACGTTCCTCGAATTCAGCTTTTTCCAACGCCGTCAACGGTCAACTGTCGGCGGCGTGCCCCGATGCCGTGTGTATTCACGGCTGCAACCCGTATTTTCGTAAGCGCGATACCGGTAACGACGATGGCGATTAATAGTCAAGTAGAACCTTTTTACTACAGCGCCGGCGCTTCCTGAATGCTGGTGTTCGTCCTGTTGGCCAGCTGGTAATGGGTCTCCGGGAGGGGTCCCGCGTCCGCCCCACGTTCCGCGTCCCGACGCGGGTATCGTCAAACACCATCAAATTCCTTTCCCAGTTGGCAGTACCCGTCCACCATTGGTCCCCGCCCCTACCGGCCGCCCAACGCCGGCGCCGTCGGCCGCCCGCTTTCCCGACACCGGCTTCAGTTCCCTGGGCAGCGGTGGGGCATCCGTCACCGCCTCACGGTCCCGGTGGGCGGATGTCAACCAACTTGGCGGCAACGGATTCACGGGGAATGGGTTTTCCAACCGGCAGTCGTTTCCGGACAGGATGACCTTTGGCCAAGGGTCTTTACGGGCGTCGGACAGTGCGGCGGGTAGGGTCCGGCAGAATCCGGATTTTGGTGGGTCCGGTCTCGGCCGCGGCTTCGGCGGGTTTTAGAAATGATGGACAGTAAAGTCACCTACCTGGCTCAAACATTTTCGGATGGGCACACTGCGTACAACGTCGGGCTAAATAAACTTATTTACGCAAACAGCTGTTTTCCGCTGTACGAATCCAAAGCCGGGAATTCACGCGCACAGGATGAGCTAGTGTTTTTTTTTTATTTTGTTTCATTAATTTAAAAAGAAATTCGTTTTGATTGAACTGCAACTGCCACGCGCATGTCGGAAGCAGCAATTCGTTACCATGACGAAAATATGCATAAATGAAAGTTATGAAACAGCAACTAAAATAATTGGGGAGCACTTACATGTGACTAAAATGTGCAAATCAGCGTCTGTTTATTTTTCTGACATGCTACCGGATAGCTGAGAAAATGGCTTGACGGAATATCCGGCCGAATTCTTTACTTTTTTGTCTGGTTTTTTCTAACCGCGGCCGGATCCACGCGTTACAAGTGGCGTATTGCATTTGTACGTATATGAACACTCACAATCAGCGATTTACGATCGTCGGCAAATAAAAACCGAAAACCGCTGCAGGTATAAAACTCAGTGCAATCAGTATTATGTGCAACTGAGCGTTTAGCCGGCATTTCTGTTCAAATAACATTTGTAAGACCCAGTCAGTTAAGCGACAAAACCTGATATTCTTCAGCCAACAGAATCGCGTCCATACTGTTTAAACTTTAATCCCAATTAGCCAAATCTTTCCGGCCAAAGCACGGGCAATGGATAACGCGCAGCTGGTGACCTTTCTCGGCCTCGTGGCTTGCCTTCTCATGCCGTCAGGTCAGTCTCCAACATAAAATGAAAATGAATGTGACTAAAAAAGCTATGAACAACAATAAAATAATATATAAAAAATTAAAATAAATGTAAATAATTAAAAAACAATGCAGTGAATGTGTTTATTATAGCCGTTAGCGGGCAGGTGGCCTGCCCGGCCATCGGGTGCGGCCGCAACCCGCCCTGCGTCCCGGCCGGCCAGCCCAACCCGCCGATGACGCCCGGGTGTCCGCCGGTGTGCCCCACCTGCACCGGTAACGAGGGCGGTGGCGGAAGTGGCGGGATTAACTGCGCCCTCGTCAAGATCAACTGCCCACAGTACTCGCCCTGCCCCATCCGGGTACCCACGTACGGCGGCGTTTCCAGCTCCGTGTCGGGCTCGTCCGGTGCCGTCTCCGGCAGTGCGTCCAGCTCCAGTCAAAGTACGACAATTATGCCGTTTTATACTATAAATAAACTAATCTAACATAAAATAACTCAGATATGTATAATTACATATAAATATAAATAAAACACAGTCTAATATTGCACTCATTAATCCGATTTATTAAACAAATATAATAATAATTCATCATAATTTATAAGCAAAATGAATGCTGTTAAACATTAATGATTTTGTGATGTTCTTGCAGCGATCAGTAATCCCATCGTCATCGCCTGCTGCCCACCGCCACCGCGATGCTTATACTAGGCTCTGCTGATTACCGAGGATTTAGTTAATACTGATTTTTATATTTAGTTATAACTGCATTTTGTTTTATCAATTTTTTTTCAAGCCAGTACTCTGTATGTTGTCTATGCGTGTTTGTTATAGTAGCCACTGAGTGGAGGCAAATTTTAAAAAAATATACGAGTATATTACGTCAGTTCCAGAATCCGGAATGCACAAACAGCCGGCGCGGCAGCCGGCACTCACGTGTACTGCCCTGACAGTGTCGCGTATATTGTCCGGTATAAAAACATGTGGGCTTCTGTTTCTTTCTTCGGTACTGAGTTTCGGAAAACAAATGCACAGATACGGCAGCGTTGGCATAAGAAAAACAACAAACGCACGCGTTTCTTTTTGTCCGGCGTTTGCCGTTGATGGGTGATAACAGCCGGAAGCGACAATGGAATATCCACATTTCGCGGTATAACACACACGCACGTTTCGCGTCAACATGTGTATGCGCCGGCATCCGTCACAAAAACAAACAACAAGAAAAAAAGAAATACTGCATAAAAAACACAACGGCAAAAAAGTACACGCTACAACGCGGGTTTTTATTTTTCATAGTTGAGGCATATAGTCGAAGCCGTTGTTGACCTATTGGTAATTTCAGCGCTATTTTCTTAGCGAGTTTTACGTTGAGCATACAGTCAATTATATTGACAAGTTTATCTTTACGCGTGTGAAAAAAAAACAATGTTTACCGGTAATAATTTGACAAGCAACGCCGTGCTGCTGGTCCTGGCCTGCGTAGCGTGGCTGCAGCTGTGCCCGTCGGCCGCCGGTCAAGGTACGAATATTTAAGCAATTGTAGCAGAAGAACACTTAAAATTATCGTTCCTTTTCTCATTTTTTTCCTGTTTAATCTGACCACATTTTTTTATACTGTATTATTTATTGGTTTTGTCATTTATGAAAACAATTCGTTTGATATGTTTTTTTTGGTGTGAATTGTAACGGAGGGTTTTACTAGAGCAAACCGTGCTGGTACATTGTATAGTCGATCGACTAGTTAGATGACTGTATGATGACTGTCTATCACAGTAACATACTGTGACTTATATAGCTAGACATAGAATATCAACAGACTAGCATGTAGGTAGAAGAACTAAACAATCAGCTCAGCAGAATAGCTAAAGGCAAGAGTCACAGACATAATATGAATCACATTACAGAATGTGTAAGTATATATTTTTGTAGGCACCGCGGCCATTGTGCCCGGGAACATCAACTGCGCGCAGCGGTTCTGTCTGCGCTGCATCAGCGCCCTGGAAGCGGCCAGTACGTATACCGTTGTTAAACCCTGTTGAGCGTTGCGTAATTGCGTACGTGCATCCAGGTCAAGGCCCGTGTGCGTGCCCCATCTGTCCGGTTCCCACTAACCCCTGCGACGCGGTTCTGTGCGTAGCCTGTATGCCGGCCCAACCCCTGGACAGCGCCGCCGCTTCCGGCAAGACCTCCGTCGGTAAGTACTCATGCATTGTTGACAGCCTACTGTTCCGTATAAATAATATCTGTACATGAACTCTGGAATGTGTTGATATAGTGCCCATTGGGACCGGCTGCTGTCCGGTCTGTGGATGACCTTTATTCCCTTGAATTGGCCCTTCTTACCATGGGAATGTCATGACAACTCACAAGCAAAATCCAGAAAAAAACTGTAATACAACCATGTTGGTTATTTTGTATGGAACATCATTGTTCCTCAGTTGTAACCCAGTTGTTGATAGAATCCGGCGTAATTATAATGGCTCTGTTTTGCCGGCCACCATGTACTGATAGATTTACAGCGCAGCTGTGATTGTTGTTTGTAGACTGGCAGTGTTGTCGCTAGTGACAACAAAGGTACGCCGCGAAAACAATAAACAATCGGCTCTGAATTACATTTATGCGTGTGTTGTTCTGTGAATATAAGAACGTTTAATGCACATTGCAACCGATTTGCAACGCACATGCAGTGCATGTACAGTATTAGTAATATTACGTACAGTAGATACATTTTATAACATACAATAAACGTCAGTTTGCGGTTACAGTAACACCCACACTCTTCTGCAGTTATTCGCTATTTCCGTTTACCGGAAGCGACAATGGAATATCCATATTCGCGGTATAACACATGCGCACGTTTCGCGTCAATATGTGTATATACCGGCATCCGTCACAAAAACAAACAACAAGAAAAACAAAACCTGCATAAAAAACACGACGGCAAAGAAGTAGCGCTACAAGCTAAAGGCGGATTATTATTTTTTAGTTGGGCCGTATAGTCGACGCCGTTGTTGAGCTATTGCCAGTATTATTTCCCTGGTGATTTTTACGTTGAACCATTTATCGTTACAAGTGTGGAAAACCATGCTGACCGCTACTAACCTGAAAAGCAACGCCCTGATGCTCGTCCTGGCTGCTGTGGTATGGCTGCAGTTGTGCCAGTCGGCCGCCGGTCAAGGTGCGTATATATATCACATTTTTTATCTACTAACTTAATTTTTTCTTTGTTTTCAATTTTATTACATTTTTTAATCTGCTATTATCTTAATTTATTTTGTTATTATTTTAAAACAGTTGTATACTTTATTGGCTTTTTTATTTTTAATTATCTGATGGTTTAACTGAATAAGGATGTATATAGGCACCGCGGCCATTCTGCCTGGCACCATCGGCTGCCCGCAGAAATTCTGTCTGCGCTGCATCACTCCCCTGGAAGCGGCCAGTATGTGAACTGTCCATTGCATTCGTACATCCTTTTGAATATTCAAGTATAACTGGTGACTGCAGGCCAAGGCCCGTGTCCCTGCCCCATCTGTCCCATCGGCGGCGGCGGCACGAACCCCTGCGCTGCCGTCCTTTGTCTAGCCTGTATGCCGGCACAGCCCGTGGACGCCGTGGCCGCCGGGAAGACCTCCGTCGGTACGTGATTGTGCGCATTACATGTACTTGTATACGACGGCGTTAAGCGGTTGTCTTGACAGTGCCCATTGGCAGCGACTGCTGTCCGAAATGCGGATGACCTTTATCCCGACCACTCTATCGCTCCTCCCCGTCTGTCGGACCGTTGGACTCGGGGAACAGCGACTCCGTTCGAAAGCTACCGTAGACGGAAGGCGATTAAACTGATCATACACTGTTTTCCCGTTTTCTTGTATAATACTTCATACACTGTTCGCTGTCGGTTATGCACGAGGCCGGCGTTGTTTGTTGGATGGCGTTTTCCGTGAAAACAATACCAGTGCCTTGGGCCATCTTAATGTCGGCAGTAAAGCCATCATGTACGGCACAATATTTATTGTACTTGAACTCTTGCTGTTATAAAGAGCCGCTCTTTCTTCACGAAAGCCACCGGAAACGAATGTTATTAGAGAGTTATACGTTGAATTATACTCCTCCAATTGGACATGGCGACTAGTTGTTATCTGTGTGCGGTCATTTTCTTACTGGTCAGCGCGGGAAATCGCTTGCCGGTTGATGGTACGTACGAGACAGGCCGTCGGTGTCATAACCACTGTCCACGCTGCGTTGAAGTACTATTGATTCTGAAGTACTTTTTTAACCTTTGAATTTGTATCATTTTAAGTAGTATTACGCGAATGCACTTTTTGTTACATTGATGGCCTTTGCCCAATAAACGCAGCACTGCTGATATGAACATGGAGATGTACGTTTGTACGTCGACAGGACTGCCCACCGTACTGTGTCCCGGACCGGTGCTCAACTGTTTCACCTGCGTCCCGCCCTCCCAGTACACCGGTACGTACAGCGCGTGCTCACCTTGTTCACCGCACACATCTACTAGAATGCATTGGACGTCCTCAGACATTTACACAAGTTTATATTCCATATAAAAAAAATTAGAAATATAAATTCGCTTGCATCTCGCGTTGATATAAGTTTGTACAATGGCAAGAATTATCCCGCATTCAAATGTTAATCAGCTTTTCTGTGGGAGTAAAATGAACCCGGCTAACGGCTGCAGGGCCCTGTGGATGTCCCATGTGCGCCGTAGATCCCAATCCCTGTCTGGGCATCATGTGCCCCGATAACTGCGTGCTGCCGATCAGCTCCCTCTCCGCATCCGGATTATCCAGCGCGGCGCAGAGTAAGTGTACCATGTTTATGTACACTTTTGTTAGCACTATCATACCGGTATCATAGCTAACACTGTTCCCCTTGCCCAGTTGCCCAGCCCCCGGCCCCGAGCAGCTGCTGCCCCAAGTGCGGATAACGGTCACCGATCTTATCCGGAACAATCCCGGCATCTTCCCGTTAATTCTATCCCGGAAATTTTTAACAGACGTGCCAATCAGTTTCTCCCGCTGTTTTCCGGCGGAAATGGTGTGATTCCGGGTGAAGAAACGTCGCTAACTGTGTGCTTGTTGTGTTATGAATGTTCCTATAGTCATTCTGGCAACGGAGCTGTTTTGTTTTGTTGACAGCCAACGCCGTGCCGTGTTTTCCGCGAAAACAATAAACGTGTCGGCGAATGTGGCGTTAATGTAGCGGTGGTACTGGTTCATTGCTCGTATTACGTATATACAGTATGTGCGCCGAGGACCCGGCGTCCAGTGGCCGCTCCAAAAACGGCCTGGCCGTCCTGTGCCCGGAGAGCTGCGGCCGGGCGGTCAGTTCCTTCGCCCGGATCAAAGTCAGTGTTATTTCGAATCGATCATGGTAGCCTTTAACGTATCGCCAGGGCTGCCACGCGCAAGTGACCGCTACCGCTTACAATAATCTATTCAATTTGTTCCAGTATAATATACATACGCAATTTTTATGGCAGAATGTATGCGTACTGACGTACAGATCTGTACACCCCGTTCACGCCAAGTTGGCGGTGTGACATTTTAATTTACTCCCGAATCGTGCAGCGTACGAGTATTTTTGCCAATCGTTTTAAAGTCTACAGTGTAGTTTTCTTTTGCGCATTTATTGAGCAAAAACGCAATAGATTTCGGTTGCGGTGTCGCGCTGAAACAGCTTCCGAAGCGGAGGCACCGATGGACCAAGTCATTGAAGTGCAAAACAAAAACAATTTAATTCAGCCAGAAATGCCGGAACGGCTTTAAGCGCTTGGAATTGAGGTCAGTTTGAGGACCCCAAAGAGCGTGCTTCATGAACGAAAACTGAAAGTCAACGGCTTGCCCAAACCTGCAAACCGCCTAGGAGAGCAAAATCGTTTTTAGCCAAAACAAAGCCCTCGGCTGAAAAAAGGTATGGTGTCCACGGAAAAGTGTTCCAATACAGGGTCACGCGCTTATGCTCTGGATGGTAGTGAAAATTTTAACACCCAACTCCTTGCGAATCGTACTTTGTGGTGCATATTCAAGGAGGACTTCCCATGGCTGCATGGTGAGCGAAGAAGATCGTCCTACAGTTCGGCCACGCCCACCGTTAAACCGGTGCCCTATACCAGGAGGGGCTTCAAGTTAACGGTGTGAAGTGCACCCTGAAGGGTCGACGGATGGCCAAGTCAGCAGATTTAGCGTCCTTGGACTACGGCATAAACGGGAATTTAGAACGAATTTTAAAACCACGATAGCTTGACTGCAACGCATTTTTAAAGTGGTCCACTCTTGTTTTAAAATTACTTCTCTAAATCGGTTAATGATAAATTAGGTTTGAATGGAAACCATTGGAACCATTGGAAACAAATTTCAGTAGTCCGCAAAAAGATATCTGCATATTATATGCAGGATCCATTTCAGTTTGCACTATCGATTTCCAACTCAGCGGGCCTTATACCGAAAAGTAACGATTTTGGTACTTTAAGTTAAAGAGAGGAAAATTATAGAGCCTTTCGTCCAATGGTCGTGCAGAGGCGGAGCCAAAAGTTAAAGGATCTGACCTCTTTAAGTTATAGAGCCATTCGTAAAGGATGTTCGAGTACCCTTACTGTACACATAAATCGTTACGATTTAGGAATAGTATTAGACAAACCGACTCAAAACGAAACACTAGGTAACTAACAGATCAAAAACAGACCATCTAGCTGATGCGCTGCTTCTCGACCGTTCCGGCATTACCAATACACAAGCGGCATTACAACGCTGAATTTCAATGCTCAACCGTTGCAACAGAAAATGCTTAGCACGCGTTTCTCCAGTCTGCTCCCTTATGCGTCCGGCCAGATCGTTAATCAAATCGCGTCTGGCCGGATCGTTAATAAAATTGTACAACACATATTATATGCTCGACCGTTAATAATAATTACGAGTATTATTCAAAATCCTTCCGCAACCTGCTGATTATTCATAGCACGCGTTGTCCAGATTCGCCATATCCGGGTATAACAGGGTTTTTCCGCATATCCCCCCCCATTTTCTTATCGAATGCCGGCAGAATATTCGCTCATCAATTGCGGCTGGCCATTGTAACAGCGAGCTGTGTTTGTTTGCGATCGAAGTACGCTGATTGTGTTGTAAACAGGGCGGTTCGATACATCGTTAACGATTGCCCAATCAAATACCGGAACACAAAAAACAAATTACGCTAACGTTGCTGCCTCGGGGCTCAATACGTTTGCTGACGATTCCCCTAATTGTTGACAACCACGCGAGCCGACTTGACAATCATACGAGTACAAACCGGTTGCAGTGTGTTTTTTCCCTGTTATTATTCTTGCGCTGCATTATAAGGAGCAGTTCATTTTTTGACGGGTTTTTTTCCAAGCGCGGACCAATATTATTTTCTTTATCCGTGTATTCGATAATGGAAGTGAGGATGATGTTACGTATCGGTATCGTGGTGTTAGCAGGATGTTTGACCGTGATCTCTGGTTAGTATGATGAATGATTTTGGCATCATAAGGATTAAGGGATTTGGCCCGGTACATAGCACCGAATTTGTATACATCCACGGCAACTTTCGCTGTCGCGCACTCCCAAAAACTTTTTTGAATTGCTTTATGATATTCTGTAGCAAAAGATTCGTATACATAGGCGAAAAAACCGTTTGTGCGCGCAACATCCGGTTCGGGAGATATTAGTGAAATAAAATTCCAAAAGTTTAAAAGCGCGGAGGTGTACCAGAAGTCTCATTATGAACCGATCTCTTCAAGTTTTGCACGAAAACGCACATTACTATGAAGATCGTTTTGGTACCGAACCAGCTTCCTACCATTTTTTTCAAATTTTAAATTAATTTTTAAAATTTTTGAAATTCATTTTAAAATTCGAAAAAAATGGTCGAAAGCTGGTTCGGTACCAAAACGATCTTCATAGTAATGTGTGTTTTCGTGCAAAATTTGAGAAGCATCGGTTCATAATGAGACTTTTGGTACACCTCCGCGCGTTTAAACTTTTGGAGTTTTATTTCACTAATATCTCCCGAACCGGATGTTGCGCGCACGAACGGTTTTTTCGCCTATGTATACGAATCTTTTGGCTACAGAATATCATAAAGCAATGGAAAAAAGTTTTTGGGAGTGCGCGACAGCGAAAGTTCCCGTGTATGTACCCGAATTTGGCATTATGTACCGGGCCAAATCCCTTAAGGATTTATAATTCGTTTTTTCTTAATTAATATATAGCCGGTGTACTTCCGCAATTATACAGCGCAATGCTAGATTAATACAGTAATTAATTATCTTGTGAACGGTTATTTTTCATGTGCAGCACTTCCGACGGATGTGATTAGCAAGCCGATTATCGGCGGCGGCTGCTCCGGACCACCGCTGCAGTGTTTCCGCTGCGTTACCCTGGCCGAGTACACCGGTATTAAGCCAAATTAACTACAGCCATAAAGTTCATCCCTTCGTGGAATTTAGCACTTGTTCAAATACTGCACGTCAAATAATTCATGCCGGTTTGACCACAGCGAAATGTTTAACCCAGGTCCCTGCGGCTGTCCGCTGTGCAGTAATCCCTGTCAAGGCATTCTCTGTCCGGCCTGCGTGCCCGCCACCAGCGCCCAAGCGGGCCAAGCCCAAGGTAAGTATAATCCAATTACAATAATTATTTTAACGAAAGTGTTGTGCGCCCCGGAAATTCTCCGGGTACATAGTTACTTTGCTATGCGCCCGGAAAATTCCGGCCACGCTGTCAGTGGGGTGTTTCTTTCATTAATTAATTGTATTTTTTGCTATTTGTTTTTTTTATAAATTTTTTGTTGATTTTTTTTAATAATTTTTCGTACTGATTTGTCTTACTTGTCCGTTATTTTCTACACTTATTTTTGGTAATCAGAAGTTGCGCCTCGGACTTTCCGATGAACCAGTCGGGACATTTCCTAATTGTTTTCATTGCAGATGTGGCGGCCGCGTCGCCCGCCATTGTCAGCTGTTGTCCGAAATGCGGATGACCTTCCACCGCCATCGGCGTTCGACTCGACACTGCATCGGTGTTTAGCGGACAAATCGACTCGCCATAATATTTTCTGACTATTTTATTACCAATAAAATCGAAGAATTATTTTAACCGAATATTATAATCTGTAAATAATATAAACGAATACATATATAAACGATCCACCGGTTCCATGCAGAATTCACGTTTTGTTGTATATCACTGTAACCCGACAGTGTACAAAGTGGAGAAATAAAAAGATCCCTGTTCTGTGCATTGACTGCGAATGTCGCCACCGCGTCAGCAGCTGTGGTTGCGCTGCTGGAAGCGCTGGTACACTTCCGGGCGCGCGTCGGGGTTCCCGCGCGCCGTACTCCGTCGCCGCGGACGCAGCAACCGCACCGGGAGGTCGGTGCCGTCCTCGTGCAGCGCGTTGCTAATCCCCTTGCCCGCCGCCCCGGGGGAGGTCACCGGCAGACTGGGCCGGTGCAGCGTCGTACTGGAGCGGATCGTCGTCGTGGAGGCGCGGCGGTGCCGCGACGTGGAGCTCAGCGACGCCACCAGGGAGTCGCGGAGGTGGCGGGTGCGGTAGGCCAGCCGCGCGCCGAAGGTCCGGCGGAAGGGCCGCGTGGAGATGGTGTACAGGATGGGGTTGAGGGCGGCGTTGATGGGCAGCAGGCACACCGCCACCCACGAGTACATCTCGTCGGGGACGCGGACCTCCGCCAACGCCAGCAGGCTCAACACCGAGATCGGGAGGACGCACGCCACGTTGGTCAGGATGATGAGGAGCATGCGGCGGGCGATGCGCGCCTCCTTCCGCCCGCCGCCGGCGGCCTGGTCCACCGCCCGCCGCGTCCGGAGGGTCACGGCGTACATGAAGCAGTAGGCGACGATGATCAGGACGCACACCAGCATGTTCAGCGCCAGGAAGATGAAGAGGGAGTACTCCCAGCCGGGATGGCGCTGCGGGGTGATGTGCAGTGCCAGGCACACGCCGGAGCGGGCGTAGAAGGCCTGGAAGTAGGGGACCGGGAGGAGAGGGACCAGCGCCAGGATCAGGACCCCCGTCCAGATCCCCAGCATGGCGGCGCGCGCCGAGCCAAAGGTCAGGCGGACTTTGAGGTGGAAGGGCAGCAGGATGGTCAGGAGGCGGTCCAGGGTGAGGATGAGGAGGGTGAAGAGGCTCAGCTCGCTGCTGACGGTGGACAGGAACCCGACGACGCTGCAGGCGGCGCTGGCCTTCCACTCGTGGAGGTGGTAGACGTAGGAGCCGCGGTAGTGGACGTCGGCGCCGGCGATCAGCAGGAGGTACACGCCCATCACGAGGTCACCCACGGCGAGGTTGATGATCAAGAAGGCGTGAAGACGCCGGCGCCGGAGGTCGGGCGCCCGCCAGTAGATGACCAGGGCGTTGGCCAGGAGTGCCACCACCCCCATGGTCCAGAGGACGGCGCGCAGGACGGCGTTGGACATGAGGTCGGAGCAGGAGGAGAAGAAGTCGACGCGCGGCTGGCAGTGGGGGACGGCGGCGCCCAGGCTGCAGCACAGGCGGGCGTCCCCGGTCTGGAGGGTCACCAGGCTGCGGAGGCGGGCGACGGCGTGGTGCGGCGCGGTCAGCGGGTCCGGCCGCCACGGAAGGAGGGTGTGGCTGATGTCCAGGGAGGTCAGGACGGTGTCCAAGGTGGCGAAGGCGGAGGGGTGGAGGCTCCGGAGGGGGTTCCCGGAGAGGTTGAGGGAGAGGAGACTCCGGAGCCCGGTGAAGGCTTCCGCCGGGAGGGCGGTTAGCCGCTGTTGGCTGAGATCCAACTGCGGGAGCGACGATAGTCCGTGGAAGGCGTGGCGTTCGATCACCGCGATCCCGTTCCCGCTGATATCCAGCACCCGGACGTTGGCCAGTCCGCTGAAGGTCTTCCCGACAATCCGGGTGATCTGGTTTCCGGCAAGTTTCAACACCCGCAACTGCCACAAATTCCCGAAGACTTCCGCGGGAAGGGTGTGGATGTCGTTAAAGGTCAAATCCAGGACGGTCATCTGGTGCAGCTTGTCGAAGACCTTTTTGCTCAAGCGACTGCCGTTCAGGCGGTTGCCGGCCAGGATAAAGCGGGTGATGGTCGACTCGACGAACGCCGGAAGGACCTCCAGCCCGGCGTTGGAGCAGTCAATGGTGACGTCGACGCAGATGCACTCGCGGGCGCTGGAGCACTGGAACGGGCATCCCTCCTCGTCCGTCCACGTCCGGCTGCCCTTGAAACAGTCCGGGAGGCCGTTACACTGCAGACTGGAGTGGTAACACGGACCTCCGCGGCACTTAAACCACGTCCGACCGTCGCACTGGGTGTCCCGGCACTCGGTCAGATGCGAGCCGTCCAGACACCCGTGGAGGGCGGCGTGATACCCGATCTGGCAGACGTACTGCCGCGGGATACACTGCCCATTCCGGCACCGGAAGTGGTCGCCCGGACAGGGCACCACCCGGTACGGGCAGGTGTCCGGCTCGTCGGAGGCGTCCAGGAGGCAGTCGGCCGTGTGGTCGCACACCTTGTCCTGCAGGATACACTGGCCGGTGGCCCGGCACTGGAAGGTCCCCGCTGGACAGTGGTGTTCCCGGCAGGACGTCTCGTCGCTCCCGTCAATGCAGTCCGGGCGGGAGTTGCAGACGTCGGCCGAGGGGATGCACTGGCCGGAGCGGCACCGGTACTCCCCGGGACGGCAGGGCGGACGTTGGCACAGACCCTGGCGTTCGTCCTCCCCGCCCAGACAGTGGCGTTGGTGGTCGCAGCGGACGGAGGGGGGCAGGGCGCGGGGGTCGGTGCCCTGGCACTGGAAGGTGGCTTCCAGGGAGGGCAGGCGGCGGCCGCGGCACTGGAACTCGTCTGTCCCGCCGTCCATGCAGTCGTCTACGCCGTCACACAGGAATTCTGCCAATAAATAATGAGTAATATTAATAATTTAGATAAATAAAACATAATAAAAACCTAAGAAAATAATAATGTTAAAGATGTAAGAAAATTAATAACAGTAATTAAAAAATGGAATATTTATATTAATTAAAAAATGCGAATAAGAAACAAATAATGTCGTTAAAGGTCAGATCTACTAAAACTTCTGTAAAAAAATTAATAAAGATTTTTTTTAAAATTTTAATTTATAGTGATACTAAAATTCCAAATAAATATAAATAATAAGTAATAAAATACACTATACAAGGAAGCCTGTATATAAAAAAAAACATGAACGGCGGTAAAGGTCACCGGCGGGAATACTGGTCTAGATGCAGCATCTCAAACATAATATAAGAAAACAAAAAACTTAAAAACGTGGGCAGCGGTAAAGGTCACCATATAAAAAAAATTGTTATAAGAAATTTCAGAAATCCAGCACCGGTAAAGGTCACCAGGGTATTACCGGCGTGAATGCAGCGGCTGGTCTTGTTGCAGGGAATGGTCTGGTGTTTCTTGCAGAAGGCCAGTCCCGGCTGCCCCTCGTAGAAGGCCGCACACTCCGCCGGCGGCTCGTCGTCGCAGCCGCCGCCGCAGTCGCACTCGGCGTCGCAGACGTGCGCCCGCGGGATGCAGCGGCCGTTGGCGCAGCGGTGCTGGTTGAAGCGGCACGGCCCGCACCGGCGCTCGTCGCTCTGGTCGGCGCAGTCGGCGTTCCCGTCGCACTGGAAGCTGCGGTGCACGCGCTTCCCGTCGTCGCATAGGAGGAACGCTGTCCAAAAACAATGGTTGTTGAATTAATGGAATTATATTGGGGCAGAAATATTATGTACCGGTGTCGGCGCAGTCGCTCTCGTCGGAGCCGTCCTTGCAGTCGGTCTGGCCGTCGCACAGGAACATCTGGTTGATGCACTGCCGGTTACCGCACTGCCATTCGCCGTGCCAGCACTTCCGGTAGTCTGCAAAAAAAAATTCAAATATTTAAAAACGCAAGCCAACACTGTAAATAAATTATTACTAAAATCATTTAAAAATGAAAATCAGCTAAATTTAAAAAAAGCTTCATTCAGTTTATTAAAAACAAATGCATATAAAAATTTTTTTAAAACTAAAATAAATTGAAATTAACAAAATCAAAGTAAATTTTAAAACATCCAAAAACTAAACGTTTTTAATATAAATAAATCGCCAAAATTATTTTTGAATTTAAATAATGTAAAACAATTTTCTATCTTAAATACTGAAAACCAGCTTCGGTTTTAAATAATCAAGTTATATTTTAATTCGTAAATTAGAAATAAATGGGACAAATATTAGTAGCTATTTTAGAAAGTTTTTAAAAAAAATCGTACTGCAGTTGTGCTCGTCGGAAGCATCCGGGCAGTCGTTGACATAATCGCAAATCTTCCCGATGGGCACGCAGAATCCATCGCGGCACTTAAAATGACTGCTGGGACAGGTGTGTGTCCGGCACATGCCGGCCTCCTCGTCCTCCGCCGCCGGACAGTCGCGCACCGTATCACACACCTTCACCTTGTCCACGCAGTGCACCTGCCCCGCGGGGGCGGTCGCTGTCTCCGCCGCGCACGGAAATTCGGACGACAAGCAGCGCATTGGCTGCACGCTGGTTGGCTCCGCCCTCGCTTCTACAACATCACCGAACGTATAATTACCTACTTGACGACAATATGCACATACATACGTGGAATTCATTTAAACATGCTACAAGTATCGGCTGAAAAACGGCGCCGGATAATGGACAGTGCATTTTCTCTGTTTGCATATACAGACTGTTTTCTTATGTTTTCTTATGTTTTCTTATATACAAGCGACGCGCGTTGATCCGCGAATTGTAGGCCAATGGCACCGGCTGCATATATACGCGCGTATATGCGTGTCATCGGGAGCGTCTTGAGCGCGTCCCGCTTCCCTGGTTGCGTGCCGGCCCGCTTCCGGTGGCAGCGCGGCCGAGTGCCGGTTTCAGGGTCGTCGTGGCCGGGGCGCATTACGCTCTTAGCGGCGCAAATGGAGCGCAACCGCACAAGCCGGCATACATACACATTTCCGCACATTTCCCGCGCATCCTTCCTTTCCGCGGTATCGATGGCCCCGTCTGCCGGGCAGACCGGGCAGTGGATCCGCTAATGCGTTCCCCAAAGTGCCGCGACATCCGCCACAACGATGACGAGTTCTCAACGGCTCCGTATAAATTTATTTCAAAAATCCAGATATTTTTTCGCATTTTTTCCGTTCTATTTTCCCTTAAATGACGTAAATAAGCGGCAAATTTTTCCATTCGGATAAATTTATTAACTGTGCTGGCAAAAATTGCATTTTCTTTAAAGACTGCTTGTAAAAATCGCATTTCATTTATTTTCATATTAAATCTGCACTTAATAAATCGCATTTCATCTACTTCGATATTAAATATTCTTGCAAAGATCACATTTTATATATTTTTATATGTAAAAATCGCATTATATATATTAATATATATATTTATATTATTTATATTAAATTTATTTATATTTATTATTTATAATATTATACATTAAATATCCTTGCAAAGATCACATTTCATATATTTTATATGTAAAAATCGCATTATATATATATACTTATATTAAAATCTTCCTGGTAAAAATCGCATCTATTTCGCGGTTTTCCACAGAAAATACTGTATAAGCGGTATTCGGTTTTCTTCCTATAATTAGAAAATCCGAAAACGTCATCCGGCATTCATGTCATCGCATATTAAATTCTCCAGAAAATAAATCTTAATTAATTATTGGGAAAATGTGGTTAATCAGCGATATGGAAGACTGAAGGCCACGCACGCCATTCAAACCGGCTGACGAAATAGGTCAACAACCCGGTCCACGCAACTTGCCGGGATTCCGCCAACCGGCACGTCACGCTCATCCCGCCCCGCCCCTCCCGCGCCGGCGGCGGCGGATACGTGCGCATTTTGTCTTACACCAGTAATTGTGTTGTGTGCTGAGCGACAGGAAAAAAACGCCGCTCCTTAGACATCCGTCTGCTGGCGTCGCTTCCCCAGGGAGGTGGCGCGCTGGCCGGACGGATGTGCATTTTACCAGGCGGATGTTGATGCGCCCGCGGCAGCCGGCAAAAACCGCGATTTCAACGTTCTTCTTATACGTATAAGCACACTTATTCCTTCCCGTGTAAACAACCGGGATCGACAAACATCCTTGTACAAAATTAATATATTGAAGGCTTGTTCAACTGTCAATAAAAATGTTTACAATTAACTGATCGTTTATTTTTCGTTTTTAATTTTCGTAATCATTAAGCACGGGCTTTTAAAAAAATTCTTTTGGCGCTTCGATTGTAAAAATATTTTACTTGTGCAGTGTTCGCGAAAAGTCTTGGAATTATTATTTCATAATTAAACATACATATTTCTTTGTTATTATTTTTAGATTTTATTTTATCGGTACATTAATTAGTATTTATTATCATTTTAATTTAAAAATACTAATTTAAATACATTTTAAAAATATTGCTGGCTATTATTTTTAAAAAAATATTAATAAATTTCTTCCGTTTTTCTCGGTACTAATTTTTGGTACAATAAATTCCGGATTTAATTCTTGTGATCGATAAAAATTTGCAACGGCATTTGTCATCGCCTGTCGTAGTTAATCGATTGCCGAAAATGAATAAAAAACGAAGTACGCTTCGCAAGAAACGGATCGAGGGGAAAAAAATCCCGGGAAAAAATGATGAACCCATTTTTCCACTCCGCCACGCGTGTAAAAACAACGCGGGCAATATCCTGCGTATGTAAAGCCGATTACGCAAGAGGTCGTTTACGGTCGGCAGTGATAGCGATCGGCGATTCGCGGCGCAATATTTAATCCGGCGCTGGTCAAGTGGAAAGCCGGTTAAGCGCAGTATGTGTTGATCTACAGCTGATGATGATGATGATGTGTGATTTCTGGCTCCGCAGTCAGCGCCGGGATGGAAAGATGGAATATAAACACAATCAGCCGGAAACGATCGCCAGCTGTTTTAATTCGATTTGGCGCCCGCATCTACACACGCGCTGTAGTGGACGATTGCGCAATCAGGCATTCCAACGCCACGCGGCAGTGACGTCGCCGGCACATCGTTATGATCATTTGCATGCTATGAAAAATGATCCTGTCCGGTGTGGGATGCACTCGTTCTCGTCACCGCCGCGGCGAATAATTAGCCAAAAAAATAAACTTAGCAAATTATGGTGCTAACGACCAGCCGGTAGTGTCCCGCGACGATGACCTTTTCATGACCTTTATATGTTTTTGCTTAATTTTCTCAAGTTTTATATTTTTTCTTATTTTTTTCTTAGGTTTTCATAACTTCTTATATAATTTTTCTTAATTTATACATGCTTCTCTTAGTTTTTTAATTTTAATTTCTTAAATCTTGTTTTTTTTAAATTTATAATTTAAGAGCCGGCGCCCGACAATAATGACCTTCTGTTAATGACTGTTATATATATTTTTTAATTTATCTGCGGATGTCCCAATTAGGAGCACAATTGCCCCTCCGTGACCTTTATATATATATTTTTGCTTAATTAATTTAGCTACCGCAGTGTCCCACAGCCGTGACCTTTCCGTAACCTTCATACATTTTCACGTAATAATTTAAGAAAAATTAAACAACACCTACCGGAGAGTGTCCCGAAATTTCTGGACGCCATTGTCGCATTCCCCGGGACCACGTCGGCGGCGGCGCGGAGGGTGACGAGGTGCACCAGGAGGGCGGTGGCAAACGAGTGATTCATCGAATGCATGATGACGGAAGGTTTCTACTGCATTATGCAAGCTCGGGTCGAGCGCAGGTGGACTCCCTCGGCTGTCCGTCGATCGCAGGGGGCGCAGGTGCGCAGACGTCGGAGAGTTCCCGCCGACGGCGCCGCAGCTGGAGAGCGATTAGTGCCTCCGCCCGGACATCCAATTATCCCGGAAGTGAGCGCCGTGCTAGCCGCTTCGCTGTGGATATTTTGAGCAGTAATTAGCCGTATTAATTCTGTATCGCATGCGGTGTACACGCGCACGTAATTCCCACCAACGTCAGCCGACAAAAATAATGCTACTTAATTGCTGAATTAAGACCCGGTTCATGCTTTCCCGGTTTCTGCTATTAAAAATTCTGGAAGCAATCCGTGCGTTTAATAAAATTCCTATGCACATTTTTATATATCTATTATTTAAAAAAATCCGTGCGTATAATAAAGCTGCTGCCTGTATTACATATTTTATTTTCATAAAGTTATTTTGTAATATTATGATATTAATAAGATAGTACTGAAATAATGACTTTTATGGGCGGCTAAAAAAAACTTCTACACATTTTGTGATTTCTGTTATTTTAAATAATCCATGCCGAAATTGTTTTCATACTCATTTTTTAAAATATTCAGTACGCTTAATAAAAGTTTATGATAAGAACGTTATATTTTTATTTATTTGATCTTGCGTTGGGGAACAGATTGCCGGCAGATTGACTTGTAGGTCAGCTAAAGGTCATCCATGTCAAGCACATGCCTGTGTGTTTAGTCTGTCGCGTTGCAGTGAAAATGGACACTTTAGAAAAAAGTCTACATACTGTTTATTGCTAGCAGTGTGTTTGGCCTAATTTTTTCATCCGCCGACCGGCGAATCAGGCCCAACTCGACTGGATATATACCGGCCGACCCAGATATAATATTTCCCATTTTAGCCCGCTTGCGCCGCACCGGAAGTACCACACTGTCGCTTATACAACTGTATATTCGGGCTGTGAATCAAGTTATGCAAATGCCGGAATATACAGCATAACCGCCGATAAATCGTGTATATATGCAATTACAGACGCCATGGCCATTCATATTTCCACGCGCCGCAATCAGCCGTACTTCGCTGCTTCATTAAGGCGCTCACTTCAAACCGAGACAAACGTCCAATCTGCGCATCGTTCTGGCCGCGTCTCGCGTTGACGCGGCTATTCAAAAAATCCCCACTCAATCGGCAAATTCAATCGCGGGAAAAATAACCCACTTTCTGCTGCAATGGACTGACTAACTAGGGACGCGTCCAATACACAACCGATCTGATAAACAAAATAAACACGCGAAAAAAATGGCCTTTATACTCCTTTCTACGATTTTTATCAATTACTTCCATTTTTTTCCCATTAACGATTTTTTTTTACAATTTTATTATCGTGCATACATTTTATTATAGAGCAAAATGTTTTTATTTTATATTTTTAATATCGCGCACTGATTTAAATAGAATTATTATTCATAAAGAAAAATTATTGCATTTGTAAATTATTTTAATTGCAAATTATTCTTTTACTAAGGCAGAAAAAAATAATGGCAGTAAATTTCGGACATTTATTTTACAGCTTTCGCTTATTTATATATATATGATTTGTATATATAAAGATTTCCATAATTTATTTGATCCAAATTGCAGCCATTTATTTTACTAGAATTTCAATATTAATTTATTTCATTAAAATCTCAGTAATTCATTTTATCGGAGTTTAATAAAAATTTTGATGACTTATTTTGCAAAAAAATACAGCAAATAAAAATGAATAAATTTGCGTTGATCAAGCACAGCAGTTTTAACACGGACCATGTACACAAACGGCAGTACACTGGCGTTTATTTGGCACTCATCGTGATGAGATTAAGCTTAACCCGGCATTTGTCCGGCTGCTGTTTACAGCCGCCGCCCTTTACATACAGATACAGTATATACACATATATCCCGATATTTAACCGGCACAGCAGCGTCCATTTTCGCCTGACACGCCCGTTAACCCACAAAAACATGCGCCCGGCACCAGGGGAATCCCAGCTGGGAAATCGGAGAAAAAACAGCGGAATTACCATTTGAACAACGGCCGACATTTAGCTTTTGATCTTGAAACGCTGTTCACAGTGTTCAACATATGTATATATGCCGTTTAACGAAGCCGGCGCATCTGGCGGTCAGCGCCATTAACTGAATAATTTCGCGACGACAAAGCGGGTGTATTTTGTCCGCCGGAAGTGTACTGCTCAAGTGCGCTGTTGTCCTCGTAATTTATTGGCGAATAATTCCCGGCGTGTACATACGCGCAACGAGGCTAATCAATCACCCTTTAATATGGGCTGCGTTGTCCCCGTAATGCCGTCCCATTAGTCTTCCGCCAATCTGTTCCACTTACATTAACCCAGTTAATTTTACATTAATTCTAGCGCTGTCCATTACCGCCGAATTTACAAAATCAAACCGCATTTTCTGTCAAGACACCCATTAATTATCATCGCTACATTACTGGTTATTTATTACATGTATTATTTATTGTTATCCATTTATCATCCATGTGTTATTATTGGCCATTTATTACATAATATTACTATACATTTATACGAGTATATAATATATGAAAGATAATTAATTTATTAATAGCTCATATTATTGAACGTTTAGAAAATTGCCAATCAGTTCTGCATTTTTTACGCCAGGTTGTTTTGATTTTTATATTTACAGAAGATAGCCAACTAATTATGTATTTATTTACTGTAGATTATTTATTTACCAAATTCTCCTAAATCGATATTTAGAAAAATGAGGATAATTTGTATTCATATACGCGGGGTTATTTTGACTGAGTGCTCGTATTATCGATGTAAGTAATTATACCCTGGGCTGTTTTTACCGTTTAAAATTTAATCAATCTAATTGCGCAAGCATGCCTTTCTTAACGCTAGATTAACAAGCAGTTTGTTCATTATTTCATATTACTGGTGTTTATAAAACTGAAAAATTGATTTGGTATTCTTTTTACGACAGTCTGTAAATCTACTGAATAATCGCAGCAATAATATCTGTAAAAACAGAACAATTAATTGTGCATTTATTTTCTCTACATCGCAGAACTCGCTGCAGTATTATAACGGTTATCCAGTTACAAAATGTAATTTTGTGGGTGCGGGAAATGAGATGATCCTGCAGTTGGCCGGATCACGTGTCGCCGGTTGGTTAAGGAACATATTCAATGTCAGCGCCGGTTAATGGGAATACACGGGGGACCGGAAGTACGGAAGTGCCGGCTTCAATTAAGTGCCGCTGCGCTGCCCTATACACGGATATATACTGCATCTACACACCGGCAGCGACGCGGCGGATCGAATGACCATAACAATTTGTTGGCGCCGGAAGTGCGAGTGCGGCTTCACCGCTGCCCTGTACAGCTGACTGGTACGCTTATTAACAGATCCGGGCTTTACGTAATCACGCCGTGTTGGTCAAATGTCAGCAACAGTAATTAAAAATCCATTATTAATCATCCAAAGTTAATTCAAATGTTCAGGACAATGATGCAATTAATTTCTGATTTATTTTACCTTATGGTTATTTGCTTCGATAATATATTTATTTATTTACGCCAGATTATTCGCTTGTTATAAATAAATACATCAATCGGATTGTGGCAAATTTTTGGCCAGTTTACTTACGCCAGATTAGTCATGTGTTAATAAATATTCATATTGCTATTATTTACAAAAATTGTTACCAGGAAAAGTCATATCATAATCGGTATTGTAATAAATAAGTTTTTGCCCGGCCGATTTTTGACGTACCGTTATTTCTGTGTGCAGTTAACGAAGAATCGCGGAATTAATCCAGACAAAAATCCAACGCCGCACAGTGCCAATAAATAATTAGAAAATATATTTAAAATGACCAAGGAGGTTATAATAATAATAATAAAGGAAATATTCCAAGATGACATTCACATAAAATGCCGGGACAAATGGATGCCGCAGTAATTATCCGGTAACAAAGCCAAAATAAAATCCAGAAGCCAATAATTATTTAAAAAATATATATACGTATATAATTTAATGATCATCCAGATATCGTAATAAATGACTAATAACCGAGAAAATATCCACATAAATTCACAGGACAAACAGGTCAATTGGAGGATCGAAACCCGGGCGTAATTATCCGGCAATAAACAGTGGTATAGACAAAACGGCGAGTGGAGTGCGGGAGCGATTAGTTAGCAGTCATATTGACAATGCCCGTCACATTGACATTAGCGGTGTATTCACAGTCTGAACTCGAACAGGCGCAGAGGCGCATCAGCATAAATATTGTGTAAATAAACGGGACACGGCACTGGATGATGGATTACCCGGCATCGCGCTCTTGCACATCCCACCGAACGACCGGCAACCGGCGAATCACCAAAATTCCCGTATATACGTAGTTGACGTATATATCCGCTTAAGCTCCGCCCCCCGCCGCGCGCGCGCTTCCCAAGACGTCAGCGTGTATTAAAGTGTAATGAAGAGAGTGCATGGTTTATTTTATGTTGTGAAGGACGCGCCGTGCATTTTCTGCAGCGTGTAATTAGGCATAAAATTATCGCCGATACTGACGGACACTTTGGGGTCACCGGCGCTGCATGTGCATTCCGTCCGCGTTGCCGGATGTCGTCAGCGGTGCTGGCTGTGCGGCTGGACCGAGTGGATGTGTGTCAGTGGTATTATTAGCCAAGTGCCATTTCACGCACAATCACGGGAACGGATGACAGTGATACGCTGCGCCCCAGACGCCACTTTCAGCTTGAACTTGACAACACTGACACTGACATCATTAGCATCCACTCCGCCGATTTCTTGGGAATTTTCTGACACTTAATGGGGAATTAATTGGATTTTTCCTGGATTTATTTATAATTTATTGTAATATTCTAGAATTTTTTGTTGGTATTTAGTGAGATCACTGCAGATTTTAATTCGTAATTTATTTCTTTAATTTCAATTTAATCTGTAATTAACTGTACTATTCTGGATTTTAATTTGTAATAAATTAGATTATTACAGATTTTAATGTGTAATTATGGAAATTGTTGTATATTTAAACTGCAGTTACTGTAGTTAGAGAATTGTGGACGAAATTCGCCGATAGCCGGAATATTGTGGATGCTGATGTGTAATTAACAAGACTGTTTGTCAAATTTAATTTTTATTCAAATTCTAACAGTAATTAAGCGGGTGGTAATGGATTCAATCTGCAATTAATTTCAATTTATTTAAATTATTCGGATTATTCAAAATTCTACGCCCAGGAGATTCGCCGAATTATTAACGATACTCCCTATACATGTGATTTACTGCAGCACATACAGGAACGTCAGCAATAAATTGTACAGTCTATAATAATTATATTATACTGTGAATTAAATGGTAAAAAGCGGAAAATAATTCCCCGCCACCCAGCAGACGCAGCCAATCACAATCTTCCCCGTGTTTCTATATCATCTCCCGCCGGTGACCTTTTAATAGCCATTATGGATGGGATTATAGCCCGGTTCATTGAGCAGCGTCCCGTCCTTGCCGCGCGGCCCGGCCAACTCGCGTTTCGCCAGGACGAAGGCGGCGAAGAACAAGACGGCGTTGAGGAGGGTGAGGGCGCCGGCGGTGAGGCGGAAGATGTTGTCGGTGCCCTCCACCCAGGGGAAGGTGTACTCGTTGCCCCACTCACTCAGCTCCGTCACGCTGATCTCCAGCAAGCCGCCCGTCAGGCACAACAGGCCCAGAATCAAATTAGCCACGATCTCCACGCTGCTTAACTTGGGGACGACCATGGAGGACACCGTGTCGAACAAGTAGGACAGCAGCAGGATGGCCGGCAGGATCAGGCTGGAGGACACGCAGCATAAAAAGTACTCTTCGCCGCGCCGCAACAGCTCCATCGGGAACAGCATCTGCAGTTAGACGGTTAAGAATATTCAGCAATATTTATTAAAAAAATAGGTAATCATCAAGTACAATGAATCAGAACGAGTTTTGTTTACAAGATTAAAAACAACATTTCTTACAATCATTACCAGAAGTAAAGGCAGCATTACAACGGTGTTAATCGCGCATTAATGCATTTTGAAGCGTATAAACGTGCAGTACAGTTAGACGAGCCATTTCACTACACAATCACCAACAAATAACAAAAATATCATTAATAAGGAAAATCGTCCCTTTTTATTTATATAACATTCCGTATGATCGCTCCTTTGGTTAGTCCTTACACTAATCTGCACGCCATAATTAGCAATACATACTTAAATATGCTGTTATGCACATTATAATCAGGAGCAAATAAATAAGATTAATTCATTTTATTTGCATGCACTAATTATGAGTACTGTAACATTAGTACTAAAAAATTCATAAATAAGCATTTATAATGAATATTACGAACAAACAGAAACTTTAACAAATCTGCCATTATGCGTTCCGTATAATTAATCGAAAATTGTTCGTAATAATAAAATTAAACGAAAAAATAACTATAAGCATCATAATCAGAGATTAAATAAATAACATTGATGGAGTTTTATTTGCATGTATTTATTATGAGTCATCAGGATCAACATGCTTGGCGCCAAATTCAACAATAAATCCATCCATAAAAACCCGTCGACAATAAAGGAACAAAGCATCCTTATAAACACCCTCGTTCGTCTATGCGCAGCGTAATATTCTCGTGCTGGAGGTATTCTTATCAGCGGTGCGATGCGAAAGTACGAGCAATTCTATGGAAATATTATGGCGACAGTCAGTATCGTTACGTAAGACGCAGACACGCACATCCACCACCTTGACACGACGTGCTATTTGTAAATAATAACAAATAAATTCATTCGTTGCACGCTCTTTTTCTTCGCCACTTATATGGAAAAGTACCCAAGGAATAATTCGATACCCATAAAATAATTCCATTCCCGCTGGCAAACCGCATCAATTTCAAGGATTTTATCTCCAAGAACGAGAAAACGTTTCCAGGAAATAATAAATTAATCAGGCTAAGTTTTAAACTCTTACAATTTAACAACAGCAAACAAATAAAACTTCTTTCATTCATAGTGTGAAGTTGTGAACGATGGACATATTAAATAAAAAAAAAACTTGTTGCAAGCTTCTTCCGGTAGACGTAATAGCTACATAAATAAAGAATAATTTCCCCCTTCAGTTGTTACTCTAGTCTAGTTATACAAAAACTTTATCAGCATTTTAATTCATTAAGGAAGTACAGCGAATTTTGTTTACAAGATTAAAAACAAACTTTCTTTTAAACATTAGAGAAAATTCAATGCAGAATCACAGCATATCGTGCTTCGTCACAAACGTGCATTCGGAAAGTATTCACTCCAGCGCTACACGAGCCATTTCACTACAACTCCCTACATTTGGATGTTTAAACTAGGAAAATGCACGCTAGTGTGCATTGGCAAACACGGCGACCGACGCAAAATTTCGCGAAATGTTTATTCATAAGGAAATATTACTAATTTTTTCTACAAAGATTAACGTACAAATGCCGCCACAATTAGTTGAAAAAAATAAATGATTTTATTTCATCAAAAAGATAATTAGTCTGGTCAACAAGACAAACGAACAGCATCCAGCCAAAATTATTTAGAACATTATAACGTTCGTCACATCCGAAAAATTCAACGAAAAAAATATTCTATACACTTTATATATTCTACAGATAAAATGGAATTAATATATAGCAATTTTATCGCATTACGGAAATTACAGTTTATTAGCAAGTTTAGCGACAAAGCTGACCAGTTATTTTTTACCGAATATATCAGCACCCGAAAATTATAACAAAAATACCAGATAGACTTTTGATAGTCTGCACATTAAATCTAATAAATACAGCTATTTTATTTCGTTAGAAACACAATTAATTTGGCTGATAAGACTGACGACTGAATTCACCAACAACTATTTAGAAAAATATTAGGGTGCCCGAAAGACCTAACAAAAAATACCGTGAAGACTTTATACGTATATTAAAAAAAACAGCACTGTTATTTCATGAATATAATCCAACTAATCCCATTTGGCACGGCACAAATCCAATTTCCTAGCCAAAAGCGGCGCATACAATTTGCCTAAGCCGCCAATTTTAGAAAGTGGATTTGGCCGGCGGCCAGCCGAGCTCAGCAGCTTCTTAATTAGCCTTACCGTGGTATTGAAGTAGTCGCTCTGAATCAGCACATCCTCATTGCGCTGCACCTGCGGCGTCGTGGTGAAGAAGGCCGCGCCGACGGCGGGCGCCACCTTCATGGAGGCCATGAAGCCCAGCGTGATGCCGGCCAGGAGGATCTGCAGGATCTTCAGGATGCCCGGCACCGTGGTGAAGTACACCGGGTTGCACCCGGCCGCGCTGATCACCGTGGCGTTCACCGAGTTGGTGCGGCGGCCGCGCGTTATCACGTACCGCAGCGTCTTCGTCGTCGTCTTCGCCATTTTATTAATGTCCACCAGCCGGCAAAAATCGCAGGCACAATTTTTTCCGGTCCAAAAATGTTTTTTTCTCAAAACAAACTGCAGATTCAGTTTTGGAAAGTGATCAGCAATATCCACACCGGGAAAATTCTTCCAAATAATCAACAGGCGGTTGGAGAAATAAATTCCAAATAATCCAAACAGTTGGTAGAAGAATTCAACCAACTAAACACGTCGCTCGCTGTGTGCGGGGATGGTTACGCATAAATGCCGACGGAAGCAGTTGTGACAATCAACGCGTCCTTATGCAATCGCGGCGTCGCGCTCTCGATCGCTTTAGCCGGCTGCCAAAGACAGCCCTCCCCTGCTTCCATCCAGCAGGTGGCCGCGACGCTAACACTCGCTACACGTGCTGCCGTTCGCTGGACGCCGCATGTAAAAATGTGCAACAAAAAATCGGAAATGATTCAAAGCCGGTGAATCAGCGCGATGACGCGGCGCTGTGTAACCAGGTGAGGCACGGCACATCTTAGGCCGTTTAATCAACAAAATCGCCACCACAATGAGCAAACAGATTATCCCCGAAAATAGACCCGACCTTCCAGTATTTTAATTACTTTAGCGTTTTTTAATTAGGTTTTATTTTATTTAATTTCGTATTTATTTTTATTTTATTATGTTAATCTACATATCAGATTTTTATTTTTTTAACATTCAGGTTTTCTTTTTTCAATAATATTTCTTATGTTTATCGATACAAAACAAATAATTATTTATTAATTGACTGATTAATAATTTTTATCAATATAAATGAACTCGTTTTTAGTTAATTTTCGAATTATTTTCCTATTAAAAATAAGTGACATCACCACCAGAAATGCCCGGACAAATTACGAATCACATATGTTTAATTTAATCAGCAAATCGCCACCGCAATGAGCAGAACTTCAACCATAATGATCCCAAAAAAACCCCCCACCTCCCGTTAATTTATTTTTGTTATTTTTTATAATTATTTTCCAACTACGAAGGCAAACAAACAACAAACCGTCCGATCGCATTACATACGTTTACATCTTTTCGGCTCCCTCTTCCCCGCCGGCCACCACCGTCCAGCCCCGGCCGGCCGCCTCGGCGTCGGCCGCCCCGAGGAGCGTGGACACGGCCTTCTCGCCGTCGGCCAGATACTTGCCGGTCACCTCCACCAACTGCTCCTTGGTCACGGCAAGGAGTTGCTCGCGATGGCGCTGGTACAGGTCGTCGTCGACGGCGTAGATAAACTGCCGGCGGCCTTCGTCCCCGGGTGACACCGGTTTGTCCACTTCCTGGAAGACGGAGAGTTTGGCTTCGTCCACATCCTGGGTGCCGAAGCTACCGTTCATCGCCCATTCCACCGACCGCTCGAAGGCCTATGTTGACAAATTTCGGAATTTATTATCACTCGAAAAATGTCCGCTTTTTATGCAACTGAAGTGTTACCCAGGCAACAATATTTTTCGTTTTATTTTGTTTTTGGCAATTTTATTCTGGTTGAAGCTGTTATATTCCTCAAATATTTCTGATTATTCTTTCGGATTTAAGTTAATATTCTTATTTGTGTTCGAGTATTATTTTTTTCATGTTAATTTTGGTCGAATTTTCCTCGTTTTCTAATTTGGCTTTTCATTCAGGTTTTTAGCATCACCTGCTTTTATTTTCGATCAGAGGGTGTTATTTACATCGTCTTATTCCTATTCAAAATAAAAATAAGAAAGCATCAAAATGGTTTTTTTCAAAATAATCGTTTTTCAAAATAATTGTAATCACGTTTCAAAATTTTTTCGTTGATTTTTCTCAGGTTTTTATTTCTTTCAGATTTGAAAATTATTCATTTTTTGCCCCATTTTCGCATTCTGTAGAGTGCTTTTCTGCATTGAATTTTTAGAAGCGAGAATTTGGCCAAATTCTTTACCTCGAAGGTTTCCAGTGATTTGGGATCGCGATAGGAGTAGAAATTGAACAAGCCGTCCTGCGCCAGGCGCGCGCCGCCGCCGTACGCGCCGCCCTTCTCGCGGATCTCTTTATGGAGGAACTTGGCGCTGAGCAGGCGGCCCAGCACCCGCAGTGCCGCGTAATCGGCGTGGACGAACGCCGGCACCGGGAAGCACCGCGAGGCGTAATGCACCGCGAAGGGGAAGGTCAGGTGCGTGCGCTGACCGCTGCGCTTCTGGAAGCCGGGATCCGACACCACGTGCTGCAGCTCGTAATTATCCTCCACCGCCGACAAAAATTCCCCTGCAAAACAATCTATTTAATCAACTGTCCGCCGTATGTCGCGCCCGCGGTCGTCCTGTCCTCATTGGCAGGTACAATTTTTAGTGTTTCTTTTAATAAAAATTCATTTAGACGCACAGCGGTACCGTGTGTATTGCTGATATTTTGCAGATGATTGCGTAGTGCGGTGGCGTTAATGCTGTGCTAGCCGTGTTACGGTGGTCTCCTAAAAAAGTTTCTGTATTTTGTGCAACCGAAGGGATAATTTTTTATTTCTTTGTTTCCTTAGAGGTGTGTCAATTAGTTTGAATTTTATTCGTTTAATGTAAATTTGTTTAGTTTATAATTTTTATTTCCTTGTATTCTGCTTTACTTTCGTTTTCTTCTTTAATCTAATTACTGCACGTTCACATTTCTTTCTATCCCGAATGTTTGTATGCGCAGTCCATTTTCCCTTTTCTACTAGTTTTTATAGTTTATTCTATAATAGGTTCTTATTTTCCATTCGTTATTTTTTTCTTAATATTGTCATTTTTATTTTATTAACTTATTTTTACGGATTTACCTTCCTGCTTTTTCTCATTTTCCATTTATTATCTAATTTTTCTATCACTGTTATTTTAATTGTAACTTTTCATTTTGAAATCTTTTTTTTTTCATTTTTTCCAACCCTACCTGTTTTGAATTACTGTAAATTACTGCGTATTTTACATTCTGTTGTTTAATTTTGCCGTATTTTTTACCCAGCTCATCCAGAGCGCCCTTCATGGTGGCCGGCGTGGTGTTGAGCGAGCAGCGCATCCGGCCGTTGGTCAGCAGGTGCTTGGCGATCAGGCGCATCTTGTCCAGCGTCGGCCGGAGATCGCCGGCTTCGGCCAGCGGGCGCAGGAAATTGATCTGCTGCAGTCCCGACCATTCTTCGCGGAGCCGTGCAGCGGGACGCAGCTGCGATGCCGAGTAGGACATGGCGTACGAGTGTCCACTGTCTACCAAAATATAACCGATCACATACAGAAAAAGCAACAAATAATTAACAAAAACATTAAAAATTCAGTGTGCAAATAGAAAAAAATCATAAATTTAAACGAGAATTTGATAAGCAAATAAAAGAGATATTCTCGAAAAAATTCAGAACTATAAAAAAGGGTATTTTAAAAAATTCGGAAATAAAAATTAATTTAGGCCTGGGTAGGGTAGATACACAAATTAAACAACTCGTAAACACAAATTAAAAAACTCGTAAATGAATTCTAGATAGGAAAGATTGACAATTTTATTTCTCAATATGTATACGGCGAGCTTCCCTCAACAAAACTGATCAAATGAAGATTTTGTCCCAATTAACGTGGGAAGGGAAGGGACTGTGCACAATATACTCATCGCATTAGCACGCATAATCTCCAAACTTAAACGTTGAAACAAAAAACAAGTAGAACGGCTCTCGCCCGTCCTTAAAAAAGGACGGAAAGATTTACATGGAACTTTTCTATAGTCGAATAGTTTCAGGCTTTATATACAGTAAGCGAGCCAGGAGGATCCGGACTGCAGCCACTGCTCTACCACACCATCCCAGACCAAGCAAATTATGTAATGCAATAAACACACTAAGTCAGATGAAAACAGCCCACTAAATTTCGTAAATAAATCTAGAACTTGCTCAATAACTTGTAAAAAAATTATAGAAATTCAAACCCAGATATTTAAACACATACAGAGAGATCTGTTAGCATCCGTAAATAAATGCAGAACTTGGCAGGCAAACTGGAAAATGCGTGAAAAATTAAAAAAAAAATTTGCGTAAATACTTGTGAAAATTGTATTTTTATCTGATAAAGAAAAAGAGCTGATTAATCGGCAGCAGTGCGTACCAGCGAGACTGGCGATCATGTCGGCGCTCATCTGCTTGAGGAGCACGGCGAACTGCTGGAGATCCTGCAGGCGAATGCGGTTGAAGATGTCCTTCCATAATCCGAACATGGCGCCGATGTTGCGGTCCAGACAGAAGGAGCCGAGGAGCACGCCCTGCTCGTACTTGTCGGTGGAGGAGAAGAGGTGGCTGGCGTGCTCGCTGACCGCCAGACCGCCCGTCTTCAGCTCGATGGCCTGGCTGAGTTGCCGGTAGTCCATCTCGCCGGCGCCCATCTTCGTGGCGATCTGGCAGAAGAGCGGCACGTACGGGCGCAGCTCCTCGTGCAGCGCTTCCGTCGAGATCAGCGAACGGAAGTATGTCACGCCTGTACAAAACACATAACAAAATTCAACCAAACATGGGCGCGAATCTCACAGATAATAAAAACTCAATTAAAAAGGAGCCAAATTGTACGAAAAAATTTAATACATTGTATTTTTTCCGTTTTACGATCAATAAAGGTACGGAGTAATCGCAAAACGGCCCACTTTTTATAAGAGGATTTCTGAAAACACTTCGATCAATTTTTTCAATACAAAAACCAATAAAAAGAAAAACCTGTGGAAAAATAGTATATTTTTTGAATTTTTTCCCAAAAAAATTATGAAAGTAAAATAAGCAAACAAAATATAATTCTAAAAAAAATCACTATGACAGACTACTTTAAAAAATTCGTAAATAAAAGTAAATTCAGACCTTGGTGGAGATAGACAAATTAAAGAATTCATAAATAAAGTCTGGATAGAAAATATAAGCAGGGGACTGTTCCACACTGTAGTCGAATATGTAGTTTCAGGCTTTCCAGCAGCACTTCAGAATTGGAGCCACTGCTCTACCAGACCGTCCCACACTAAACATACTTAAATTGGAAGTAGTAATTAAAACGAGTAAACTTACAGGATAAAATATAGACCTTCTTCCAGTACAAAAAGCAATTAAAATACGTGATATGCTATGCCAAAAATCGTTCGTGTTTTCCAATTAAAAAGTCACGAAACATGGGAATAAATTTTTTAAAAAGACTGCTTTTTTCCTTACAAAAAGTCATAAAATACTTGTTAAATTTCATTGACTAACCATTGGTGGGTGCCGATACGCACATTATCGGCGTGTTCTCGTAATTTATTTCCTTGATATTAACACGCGGCAAGGACGACTCAATGTCGGATATTTTCAGCGTCGGCAGAACGGACACGTCCGGTTTTTTGTTCTGTTCTTCCTCTAATTCTCTTGCTTCCTCCAGCAACCGCTGTCGTGTGGCCGCATCAATCCCGGCGGTTTTCTCCGCCAACAACTGGCTTTCCTTCTCCTTCAACTGCTCTTCATACGCCGTGTCCGGCTTCATCACCAGCGTCACATTGTGCGCATTATCCTGCACAAAAAAAAAATCAATATACAGTAATCTAAAAAAACGATATTTATTTGGTTTTACAGCGTCATACATTCACAGTAGGTCTACAACACTACGTACACACTGCTAAAAAAACTATAATTCTAAAAATTTATTTTACTAAAATCACCAAAAATTCCTGATCTGAAAAAAGACTGAAACTAAAATATTCAAAAGTACATATTTAAAGTCATCAAAATTTTCCTGGCCTGCAATTACTCAAACAAAAACCTGAAAACAAAATTAAAAATCAATTAAATTCAACAAAAAAAATTCCAACCGACAAAATTGTCAAATTAAAATTTCAAAAAAATTATTTAGAATTATTTTACGTCTACAAAAAAATCTCCTGACCAGTAAATATTCTTTAACTTTCTTCTGGAGGAACTCGGGATCATTGGACATGGCCTGGCGGAACTGGTCGACGATCTGGTTGACCTGGAGGTGCTGGATGGGATCGGCGTCGTGGTTCCAGCTGGACATCAGTCCGAAGAGCGTGTGCAGCCCGAAACTGGTCGTCTGGTGGCGCAGATACAGCTCCACTTCGTGGATGATGGCCTCCACGCGCTCCGCATCGAATCCCGTCTTCACCACGTGGTCGATGGTCGCGCGGATGGTGCTGACAATCTGCTGTGTGTCCTGCTCCGCGACATTCTGCAACCACAACCCATCAAATCAAAAATCCAAACCGCAAATTTAAAATAATCGAAACTAAACCGAAATAATAATAATAAATTATACAGAAATAAATTCGTAATAAAAATAATAATAAATCAAGCCACAATTCATCGAGTCAAAAATCCAAACCTCAAAATAAAAAATTATAGATAAATAGAAACGACAGCAAAAATGAAGAGACCAAAAAAGTAATATTAAAAATTATTAAATCAGGACATAACCCAGCAAGATAAAAATCTCAACTTTTAATTTAAAAAAATTAAAACTTAAGCAAAATAACAGAAAAGAAATAACGTAATACGAGATAAAACTACAATCAATCAGTTAAATCAACGATAAAAATAAGCAGAAAATAATACAAAATAAATACTTGGTAAAAAAAATCAGAATTCTGATGTTGTAAGTACCTTCAAACCGACGCTGAAGACCCCTTCCCGAATGGAGTTATCCAGGCCCGTTCCCGGGGAGTAATCGGAGCCCAGGCCGCTCTGCAGCAGCGCGGCGTAGAAGGGCGCTTTCGGGCCGGACACCAGCAGTTTGGCCACCACGCCCATGCAGAAGTTGTCCAGCGCATTCAGCACTTCCGGCCATAAATACGACACGGACACCGTCACCTGCTTGTCCGCCGGCGCCAACGGATTCACGGGACCTACAAATGCCCAGCGCTGTCAACCCGCCAAAACTCATCAGACGGGATGAAGGGAGACCCAATCTGAATTAAATTCTACTGCGAGTAAGTTCCCGCTGTTAATTGGCACAACGGCTGATATAAAACCCTGCAGCACTACGTCTACCTCGTACAACGTACACCACAGGGAAAAAGCTTAACTTTTATTTCATGACAGCTGCACTCCCGACAACTGTGCCGTCTCCACACAGTTGCATCAACTTATATACCACATCAATATGCATGCTCGCACAACACGCTCATATCGCATACAGCCACAAAGCTATAAAAACACACGCACCAATCTGACCACTGCACATCCGCTCCTGCAGGCCAGATTAATCCTGCCTTCCTCTCATTCCCACTTGACCATCGGTCACAAACACTCATGCATATAAATGCATAACACCATAAAGACATAAATGTCCCGCACAAATATGATCATAAACCATACAGCTCAGACTCGGCACCAACAAAACCATAAAGATACATACAGCCATGCAATCCACGCTATCCAGTGTCCACGGTCGTAATCCACGATCGTAACACGGCTAAGATTCCAAATACCGTATACGGTAGAACAGAAGTTACAGAACGAACTACTGTACATCTGTACTTGGCAAGTGTGATCGTAGTGCTATGGCTTCGTGCAAGTGAATCTGTGATTGTTCGAAAAGCGCTGCTTCTGACTTGTCGACGACAAATCAAAGACTAATCGTTTTCATAATTTTGTAACAAGTTTAACCAACTTTTTTTTATGAATTAAATTGAATACAATTTTGATCTTAAATTTAAATGAGTAAATACGCCAAAATTAAATTCCTAAAACGAAAAGGAATTCTAAAACGAAAACGAATTTTAAATAAATTTAAATCTGAAAGCATGCTACGTTAAAAACTAAAAGTATGTTTGAACTTTAAAGCATTTTGAAATTAATTGAAAACCAATGGAAAATACCGGCAATGGTGAATTCGCGGGGCTGCGTCCAGCGCGGCTCCGGCTTGACCTGACTGTCGATGGGCTCCTTGTGAAAATGCTTCAACACCGTAGTCTCCAAGAAGTCCAGATGGCCCTCCAGCGGCATATCGCCGTAGCTGTAGAAGCGGGCGTTGGAGGGATGGTAATACGCTTTGTGGAAGCTGCGCAGCTGCTCCCACGTCAGACTGGGAATATCCAGCGGATCCCCGCCGCTCTCCACGCCGTAGGTGCCCGACGGCAGCAGGTAGTTGTGGATGCGGCGGGCGTACACGTTCTCCGCGTTGGAGAAGACGCCCTTCATCTCGTTGAAGACCACGCCCTTGAAGGCCAGCGCTGAGGCGGGGTCGGTCAGGTCCGCCGGCTCCAGACGGATTCCTTCTTGCCTGAAAACAAATTTTCATCAGAAAACAATTTTTAAAAACATTCATTATGTAGTGATATTATTTATAGTAGCATAAGAACAATTCAAAAGAAATAAAAAAAATAGGTTTTCACTGTCGCAGTCATAAAACAGATGATTATTTTATAATTTGTCATTTTATACTGCTTCATTCTTAGGTTTATTTTTCCAAACACCGTATAACACACACAAAAACTGAGGTGTTGATCGTAGTGTAGAGGCTACCAAACGAACTGTTCCAGGCAGTTTGTTAGTTTGTTACAGCGCGTAGAGGCTGATTTAACAATTTTCTAATCGATGCTCATTTATTGGCACGGCCTGCAACAGATCTACAAGTTTTTGTACAACGTGGATACCGAACACGGAACGAACAAACAAAAACAAGCTCGATCTTCGTATCATTCTGATATACGAGTACGTATTAGTTGTAACCAAATTAATTTAGGATTAATTCACCGAAACTCAATATTTCTTTCGAAAATTACAACTTCCTTACGAAATTCACATCACTGCAATTACTTCCTAAAAATAAGCGAAGAATTTATGCGCGCACTGCAGATGAGTTTAATGCAGAATAATTTAAAAAAGTTTTCAAGTAAAATAAATAAAAATAAGCGCAACTGTAAAGGTGCTTAAATTTACTACTGTATATAAACTTATGTGAGTAAATTTTAAATGAATAAATTTTAAAATTCAAGCGAGCTGCAATAACAACAAGCGCAGAATTTTTTTAAAGTTTAAATTTGCTAAACCATTCCGCCAAACAAAGAAAAGAAACAGCCAAAAATAAACGAAAGTATAAAAAAATACCCAAATTAAATTAAAAATAAAATTTCCTGTCGACGGCGGCAAAAATTCCGCAAAAATCCATAACACCCACCACTGACCGAAAGTCGACATTGCGGAGATTGGGGAAGAACGCCGCATCCATATACACACTCAAGAGATTCTGGAAATCCTTGCGGTTGAGCGTGGAGAAGGGATACATGGTCCAGTCGCTGCTCGTCAGCGCGTTCATGAACGTCGACAACGAGCGGTTCAGCATGTTGAAGAACGGATCCCGTACCGGGAAGCGGCGTGATCCGCACAGTACCGTGTGTTCCAGAATGTGCGCCACGCCCGTGCTGTCGCGGGGCGGCGTGCGGAAGGCCACGGCGAAGACGTTGTTGCGGTCGGCGCGGGCCAGATGCAGGTGCTGGGCGCCGGTGGCGCTGTGTTCTAAATGAACGGCGGTGAGCGCCAACTCGGGGATGGATTGGCTGCGCAGCACGGTGAAGCCGCCGATGCGCCGGTCCACGGGGTAGTCGTGTTGCAAAGGGTCCGCCGCAGGTTTGGCGGCCGGTGGGGAGGGGATCTGGCTGGAGTGGTGGCTGGGGAAGAGAACGTACGGACGCTGGTTGAGACTGCTGAAAATCTGAGTTCGACATTGCAGAATACTGGATGCGGGCGCTCGGCCCAGCATCCGCATCACCGACATCCTTGACTAACGGATTTCGCACGCGGAGATTCCTAGAAAACTCCGCTACAATTATTCCTCATAAAAAAACATTCAGATTCCAAAAACAGATCAAAATAAACAATTCTGGAAGACGAAAAATGAAAATCGAAATTTCATGTTGCATCATGAATTTCAAAAACAACGCTGACTCGGTGAACATTGCAACCGCTCACATCGGCATCTTCGTGAACGTTATTAACACACCATGCGGCGTGCCACATTTCTGCATGGCACGCTGTACACTCCAGATTACTTCATCGCTTTAATCGGTGAACGTTGCGGCCGCTCAAATCGGCACTTTTATGAACGTTACGTACGTACCATGCGGCTTGCCACATAACTGATGTTTTACCGTGTGGTGGGCTGTCGAGTCCGCGCCTGATCGCAGTTATCGCAGCGCAGCAGAAGATCCAACAAAAATCTGCGATTTCTTCCCATTCTGCTTTCTTTATCAGAACTTGCATTATTTTTACCATCCCGGGATTATCACTAACATAAAGGTGAGTGCATTACCGAAGTCTTCGCCCAACCAGACCGTTGTTCAGTGGCAAATCGGAGTCTTTTAGAGGCTTAATCTGAAAGCACTGTTTCGACTGTTTTTGCGAACCTTCGCTCGCCCCTTCCCCGTTTCACCCCCTCGCCCGCCCCCATCCCCCCTCTTTTCACGGTGTTTATGCGCTCGTAGATGATGCTGTCCAGCGGTGCGTGCAAATCCCTGCTGTTCCGCCCCCTGTGGCTGCAGGGCGCGGGGCGAACCCTGGCGACGTCCGCGCTGCGTTCGGCCGAGGACAAGTCCAGCAGCGTCATCGCGCCCCGCAACGACGAGCATCACAAAAAGGGGCTGGTGCGCGGGGAGACCATCGAGTCGGATGTGACGCACATGGAGGACTTTGGCCTGATGGCGGACCCCATGCGCCCCACGGGGGAGGTGCTGGTGTACGAGGGGCCCGAGCGCGACGTCGTCAACTTCCCGCGCCCCACCATGCCGCTGTACGGGGGCCGCACGCGGCTGGGCTTCATCCCCGAGGAGTGGTTTGATTTCTTCTATAAAAAGACCGGAGTCACGGGTACGTTCCACCACTGCGATTTTTGCTGTGGAATATTTTTCATTCGATTTTCGTAATTTATTTACGTAATTTGTAATTTTCTGATTTATTTCTGCCCATGAATTCGACTCCTGAAGTTTTATTTACGTAATTTCCAGTTTAGGAATTTATTTTTCCAACTGAACTTAATCAGTAATAATTTGAATGAATTTGTTCTGAGTTGGTTCATAGATTGTGTACACAACTAAATTAAATTGATTTAATTTTGATAATTATTTCGCTTTATGAATTTTAGTCCAGTAATTCAGCCTAATAATCAGTCTTTATTGGCATCCAAATTATGATGAATTTAAAGATCGCCTCAGTGTTTTTTTGTAACTCTCGGTGACAGCATGGAATTTTAGGTAAATTTATAATACGAGTAATTTGTTAATTACATATTTATTGTAATTTTTAATTAATGTTTTTTTGTACATTGATGATCCTGTACTTGGTAAATTTTTGTAAAAATTTTTCTTTGACTTTTCTTCCGTTTATTGCCACCGAAATTAATTTGGAAATTTATTTTAGTAGAGATTTATTTATCAAAAAATAATCGGAGAACGCTGTTAAAATTAATAAGAAATGGAATAATAATTAAAATATCAGCGATCTTGAGGAAATGCTTGATCGTAGGGCCGTACGTGTTCGGGGCGGGTCTGATCACGACGCTCCTCTCCAAAGAACTGTGGATCGTCGACCACGAATTCCCCATCATCCCGCCGCTGGCGCTGATCATCTACCTGGCCATGACGAAGGGCGGTCCGGCGCTGGCCAAGATGATGGACCAGGACATTGACGAGCACGAGCGCTCGCTGGTGGAGCTGCAGGAGGACAACATGGCCGACCTCAAAGCGGCCATCCAGGGCGAGGAGCAGGCGCAGTGGAGCGCCAAGGGCCAGAGCCTGCTCTTCCAGGCCAAACGCGAGAACGTGGCGCTGCAGCTGGAGGCCGAGTACCGCCGGCGCCTGGCCGAGGCCTACGCCGAGGTCAAGAAGCGCTTGGATTATCAGGTGGAGGTGCAGAATGCCAAACGCGCGGTGGAACGCCGGCACATGGTCAACTGGATCATCAACGGGGTCGTCAAGGGGATTGATGAGCGGCAGGAGAAGCAGAATATCGATAACTGCATCGCCAACCTCCACCGGCTCTCCACCGCCTGATTTCATTGAATTATTTTGGGTTTTGTCTCGTTTTTAGTGTTTTCCTTCGAGCTGTGTACTGTCCTGATTAAATCGCGAAATAATCGGTTAGTTCATCTGTTTCATTTTCATTTCCTTAGGAGAATAAGAATAAATTTGTTTATTAATTTAATCCGCTTTATTACAACTGTCCGTTTCCCTGTTTAAACACGACTGACCATAAGTAATACCTAATAAAATTGACTGTAAATTTAAATTGATCACGTTCATTTCCCGATGTATGCGCGGCAAAATTTAAATAATAACAAAATTAATTTATAATTTTAAAAAATCGATTTTACAATTTTATTTACTGGTTTCCTGCTAGCTGTGTAATATCCTGATTAAATCGCGAAATAATCGGTTGGTTCATCTGTTTAATTTTCATTTCCTTAGGAGAATAAGAATAAAATTATTAATTTAATTGGCTTTATCGTTCGTTTTGTCTCCAACTTTCTTTTTCCCTGTTTAATCGCGATGAATTTATATATAATAAAATTGACTATTAATTTTAATTAATCAGTTTTCTTTGCCGATCTATGCGCGGCATATTTAATTATCAGTCTGATACTAATGAAATACTCGTACTTCGTTATTATAATAATGACATACTCGTACATTGTTAAAAAATTTGGTAAAATTTCTGAATTTTTTCTTGAAGTGCGAAAAAGTGCCATCAAGTTAGATTTCATTGAAATTTGTTCGAAAGATGTGAGGTTTTATACGCGTTTATCAAAATGCACCGTATCATTTTCTCTTCTCCGAAATCCCAAATCTTTCTCGCAGTTTGTTTTACTGCTCGCAGACGAGTACTCGTAGATCGGCCGCATTTAAATAAAATCATTAATCATTATGCTCTTAGTTATTTGCAACAAAAAATTAATAGCAGCAATGCTAGGAAAATTATTTTTTGAGTTGTAGTAGTCAGATAGTTACACAAGACATTATTTATGGCTTTTCGCCACTACTCTACGATCGCTCTTATTGCACACAACCTTAGCCGCTTCCGTAGAGCTGATTAATGCATTAACGGCAATTTTGCAACACTTTTTGCATCAGTCGCTGAGTTTTTTTGATTTTTTCGCCAGAAACGCGCCGAGACCGATGACGACATGGCGGCCATTCTCAACGTGAGTAACGGACAGTAATTATTTTTTTGTATTTTTTTAAATTTCCTCGTCATTGGCTGCCAGTACGCTTTTAAATATTCCCTTATTTTCACTGATACTTTAAATGGCAATTTCGAGTAATTGGGGAAAATTGTTAGGGGAAATATTTGTACGTGAAAAATAGTAAATTTAAAACTTAATTTTATTTTATAATTAATGATAATCCTTTTCCTAGCAGCACAATTACGACGCACACACCACAGTAACTGTTATAATGTGAAGAATAAAATTAAAGTAACTAGAATTCATAAAAAAATCTGCGTTTAAAGCAGCCGCGGATATGAACACCAAAACACGACAAATCATGGTCGCTAGAGAACAAGTAAAAAAAAACCAGAAAGAAAACGCCAGGATGAATGAGGAAGTGCGGTAGATCGGGGTCAGAAGGTCTTGCGGTGGACGACGCGGAGGCCCTCGGCCTGGTAGTCCTTCTTGGAGATCCACATGCGCCGGAAGGTCTCCAGACTGGCCAGGATGGACCCGCCCATCCACGTCGAGTACAGCCGGTCCATCGGCGCCGCGATGCGCACCTACAAACCATGACACTGTATTTTTATTGATTTATTCTAGCATTTCTTATTTAGTTACTCTATTTATTTATTATCGGGGTTTTTCTGGTTTATTTTTCCATCGGTAATGAAAGTGATGCAGTTATACGGGGAAAAATATGAAAAGTTGTTTAAAAAAAATCATAAATTCAATTACCCCACACTCCTGGAAAAAATCACATGAAACCCAGCGAGAAGATACGAAAAACTGTAAAAAATTCAGAAAATAAATTATAAAAATTGCGCAAACTTGCAAACAACCAAATTAAAGAACGGAAATTACTAACAGCCAACAGCCAACATATTTAATCAAAATTAAATTGCGAAAACCACGGAGAAATCACTGCTTTAAGACCAACAATAAATAAAATCAAAATTATATTATGAAAATTATAGGAAGCGTTACTTAATAAAATCGAATCACAACATGGAAATTACAGGCAGCTGCAATGATTATTAATCAAAAAATAAATTCTGAAAATGGCGAAAAAATGCTACAAAATTAAAAATAAATCCCCAAAAAATCGAAATTAAATTAAGAAAATTAGAAAAAGCAGTAAAAACCATTTAAAACAACAAGAAAAACTGCTTTGGCGATGTACCTTGGTGTCCTTGGGAGCGCTCTGCTTGATCTCCTGCAGCAGCCGATCCCCGAAGCCCCGCGTCAACGTCGACCCGCCCGACAGCACAATGTTGCTGTAGAGCGTCTTGCGCAGGTCCAGATCGCTCTTGCGGATGCTGGTCAGCAGGACATCATGGATCCCCGGCCACTCGTAGCCGAAGAGGTGCGGCTGGAAGAGCAGTTCCGGCGCGCGGAACCGCGACACGCCCACCTCCACCTGGTTGCCGTCGGGCAGCTCGTAGGTGGCGCTGGTGTCCTTCTCCGTCTGCTCCTCCTTGTCGGGGTTCAGCGCGATGTAGCACAGCCGCTCCTTCATCTGGCGGACCACCTCCAGCTCCGAGCTGGTGTGGAAGGTCAGCCCCTCCTTCATCAGCAGGAAGCGCATCCACGCCGTGACGTCGCGCCCCCCGATGTCCGTGCGCTGGATGCTGTGCGGGATGGCGAAGCCTGCGCCCCATCGTACCGCATTATTTATTACATCATTTTATAATAATCACCATCAGAATTTTATTTTTTATATTTTATTTTATATTAAATTGTATTCTATTTTATAAGAATTTCATATTTTATTTAATAAAAATTTTATATATTATTTCATAATAATTTTTTATTTTATTTTATAACAATATTATAATTTATATTCCACTTTATAAATTTATAATAATGCTGGTATGAAAAAAATGGTAGGATAATCTAGCAACTTGTATGAAAGATCACTGTCAACTGTAAAGCATCGCGAGACGCAATTTGTATCGTCGCATCGCTCCGCAGCCAGTACACTACAATGCGTCTCGTTTTTCTTCAGCGCGTCTCGTGTACACAATACACTCATGGATGTCTACCCACTACCCAGTATCACGTAACGTTACACAGTTACGCTCCTGTTAGTTTATGTGACGATAAAAAAAATTACGTAACTGCCAAGTCGCATTCAAGTACAGTAAGAAATTTTAAATTAAATCATGTGCAGTTTCTACCAAATTAAATCACAAGCAATATAAACGCACTTTAAAAGATAGTAAATCATCATATAACAAGTCCTCCTTAAATTACAATCAAATCACAAATAAATCAGAATACGAATATAGTGAACAAATCGTAATTCGCAAAAGCATAACCAAGCAAATGACAAATTTATCCACATAAATCACACACTTTTAAGGAAAAATGGAAAATATTAATTACAATCAAGAACCAATAATAAATTCAAATTGCGAAGAAATCACCAGCTAAACACATATTTTGTACAATAAATTAAATAGAGCCAAATCAAAATATCAATAAGAAACCAAATTACAATTACACATTATGCTGATAACAAATTAAATTTCAAGTAAGGTCAGTTACAAATTAATTTCCGCTTAAATCAAATTTAAAAAATAATAAAAATTAAATTAAGCGGTGTGTGAAGGGCGTGGGGTTACCTTGGTAGATGGGGACGGCGTGCGTGACGCCGTCGCCGCAGTCGAGGACCAGACCGGTGGTGCGGCCGGTGGCGTACAGGCTGAGGACGGCCTGCAGCGAGAAGTAGACGGCCGGCACGTTGAACGTCTCGAAGAAGACCTCGGCGGCGCGCTCGCGGTTGCGGCGCGGATTATTCGGCGGCTCGGTCAGCAGCACCGGGTGCTCCTCGGCGTCGATGTGCAGCTGCTCCTTGGAGTAGATGTACCGCCACACCCGCTCCATGTCCGCCCAGTCCGTCACCTGCCAGCCACAAATCTATCACGATTTGTATTCGCAACAAATTCTTCACCAGTAAATTTCACCGCGCCGCGTTCTTAAATTAAATAAATATCACTAATTTAATATTAGCTCAATAGATTAGCACTGCCACACAGTTATGGAAATATCATTCTTATTGTAAGCGGAATATCGGACCATGTAAATAGTGTGATAATTTGTAGAAAAAGCACTGCCTAGTAATGCCAACCCACGATAATAATATGGACAAAAATCAACTTTAATGCCCACTATCAGAAAATAACTCGATCGACGGAAAAAATAGTTTTAATAGTATTATTAGAAATAAACTGAATAATTTGCAGAGGCTTAAAACATCCATAAAAAATACTATTAACGGAATTTCAGAAATTTAATACCAAATATTGTATTGCACAGTAAATTGAATGCCGCTAATTAAAATAACAATAAAACTACGTGGCCCAATCTCGTTTCACTCGATTGTGTAGCGGCAGGTTCATAAAAAAAAAATAATATAAATAATTTATGAGTATCGTATGTTGTAACTGTGTGCACTACTGAGCCCAACTAAATCTAACTGCAGCCTCGAGAAGGTTTATAATTTTGATTTCTAACAGCACGATTTCTAACAGATTTCTGTAGTATTGACTGAAAGTAGTCAAGTTTTTGCTATACATACAGAATTCCAGATGAGAATGAAAATTATATGTTCATTGTTGAATTAATTTCAAATAAAGCTCCTTATCCAGGATGAAACGGTCGGTCTGTTTAGTTTAATTTGATGGCTTTGAAATGAAACTTTGTTATCGAAAATATAGTACATGAATATGAGCATAGTACATGAACAGTATAGTACATAAACAGGAAAAACAGTATGTTAGTACAAATTTTTAAAATATTTAGCCACACCTTTTACATTATTGATTTTGTTTTAAAAAATTTTGTCCTTTGAGTAGAACACATTATTGATTGTTTGCTCAACAACCCGTGATAAAATATTTCTTAGGTGAAATATTTGAAGCCACCAACCACCATTTTAAGATTCTGTGCTCTTAGTTATTATAAAGGATCACATAGACAATAATATCATTATAATTTGATCTGGAACACACCATAACCCATATACCTGTATGGACATTATCACAGACCATAGTATTCATTTTCATGATGATTTGACTGTATCAAATATTCCAAATCACAATTTTACAGTTCATAAAACACATTATTACAAATCAAAATATTACTTATAACCTATTTACTTATCATTACTTACTTCAATTATCTTCTACTCCAACTACCTCAATTTGCATTTACGTTTCTATATTCACGCATGTATTCACGCATATTTCTTCCGATTAGAATCACCTTCCATTATTTTATTAAGGATAATAATACTTAAAAAAATTTAACGCAGATCTCTATGCAAGAAAACTTGCTAACCCATACAGAAGCTAAAAAAACGTACCAAAGTCAAACAAAACACGGCAGCCTGAATCAGCACTGCACTTAAATCCAAACCGACCACCACAAAATAATCAACAGGAGAAAAATCTTCTTCACTGCAAACTTCTTCAAATCCATAACAGCTCACAGGCAACTTCTGCTTATTCCGGAATTCCTTCTATACCTACCGAACTAAAAAAATCCAGTCAACAAACCGAATCACCCTAACACTTTCTCGAACAACTTTTTAATGTACATCGCAACCTACTTCCCATATAAAAACCACCTGTTACTAAGCGTCCATAACCATCAGATCAGAACATCATGTTCTGCTCTATTAAGCAATCAACTTTCGAACTTTCATGAATTTTACACAGTAATCCATCACCATCCACCACCACAACTCATAACACACAACACACTTGCTTCCTGTTACACTTCATTAAACTATGAAGTATGAACAACCAATAAGTCGATTACACTTATGTCAGACTACAGTAAAACCCCTACAACCTTCCTCTGTTACAACATTCACCTTCATTATCAGTTTCTTTCAAACATATCATCTTTTAATATAATCTACTATCCTTTCAAATTGGCTACAGAGCAATTTCTGTTGATATTGTCTTTACTACCCGATACCTGTATCTAATATTATGCTCCTACAATAAGCTATTGCAATATGCTCCTACATTATGCTCCAACCATTTTTCACACCACAATAATTACCACCTACCCCTTATTATCTCCACATATAATATGCTCCTGCAATGTACTCCTACTTATGTGAAAGCATATTGCAATGTGCTCCTACATATGTAGGAGCACATAGATGTAGGAGCACATTGCAATGTGCTCCTACATATGTAGGAGCACATTGCAGGAGCATATTGGATTACGTTTGTTTGGATACTACAGTTCCGTTCCGTTTTTCTCCTCCAAGAACCGATGAAACCGATGCAATGTGCTCCTACTTATGTGAAAGCATATTGCAATGTGCTCCTACATATGTAGGAGCACATATATGTAGGAGTTATTGCAATGCTCCTACATATGTAGAGCACATTGCAGGAGCATATTGGATTACGTTTGTTTGGATACTACAGTTCCGTTCCGTTTTTCTCCTCCAAGAACCGATGAAACCGATGCAATGTGCTCCTACATAATGTAGGAGCACATAATGTAAACTAAAAAAGATGCCGAGCTAGCAACGCCATCTACAAGTTTCACGCATCGTTACTCGACTCATGTCACATGACTCATGTCACATGACTGTTGGGCCCCACCGCTTCCTTCAACCGGCCGGACCCTTCCGTACTCTATGGGCGCCAAAAACTACTTTTGTTTACACACGGATATCGAAGACCAAAAACCGAAACTACAGTTTCATATATGCTACGACTGATTCTAGTCGTATACCGCATATAAGAACCTGTCACGGTTCAATGAACCTGCCGCAAAAATATTATCCAGTGTAAGTGAAATTAATGAATACCCAATATGCGACAATATGGTGGATGAGTCACCGTGCTCAGCACGTAAAAGTAACCCAGAGCGAACAGCCACACTACTGCCTAGTGCCACTGCCTACTAATACGAGTAAAGACCGAAAACAAATGGACTGAATAATCACCAAATACACTCCACACTTCCCTGATAATCAAACAATAATAAGAATTAATATCAGAATTTATTTCCATAAACGTAACACCGGAGATGAAATTTATCGATGACAGAACGACTTACGATGCCGTGCTCCATGGGGTAGCGCAGACTGAGCAATCCCCGGTTCTCCTCGGCCCGCGGGCCCACAAAGATGTCGCCCTCCAGCGCCCCGGCCATGAGGCGGTAGTACTTGACCCGGCCGACATAGTTGGGGAAGTGGCAGCGCGGCGCCGTGTCGCCCGCGAAGCCCGCCTTGATCAGACCCGACCCGTTGTCGATCACCACGGGCACGTTGGCCAGCACGTCGCTCGCCTCCATCCTGCACTCAGTGCACGCCGGACAGACTCCGCCACTCCACCGGGACACTCCACATGCAGGGCACCCGCGCAGCCACCCGGGAGAATGAGGGGAAGACGAGGATGGGGGAGATTGCTTCCACGTCGGATGCAGGCAGGTTCGCCGCGGAAAACAACGAGAGCGCTGCTTTTCTGTTCACACGGGGAGCATATTTATCGAGCTAGCATTCAGAGGAAATGATAATTTTCAACAGAGAGATAGAAGGAAAGACGGATACACGGGAACAGATAATTTATTTACAATTTGTGATTTTCACAAATTTATTTTCTAGATTTTCGTGTGTTTGTCGCTGGCATGTTTTGGTTACGATCCACTGCGCTAGGGCGGTCACGACTCACGCACGCTGCAACGCTGAGATACGGTATCGTAACCGCCTTACTGGGTGGTTGCTCAACTTCGGCATATAATAAACGGTTCAGTTTCCCGATTAGTTTTTGAACCGCAGAAATATTTTTCCAGTTTCGAATTGTTTTTGAGCTTCCAAATTTTTTTTCCAGATTAACTTTCTGGTTTTCAAATTTAAGTTTTTTTAAGTATCCAAATTAATTTTGGTATTTGCAAATAATTTTTGAGTTTGCTGTCTGCAGACTAATTTTTCCAGTTGAGAATTTGTTATTTAAAATTCAATCATTTTAATTAGTTTAAATTTGCGCAGGTTTCTTGGCACTGAGTACATGCTGTTGCCGAATAAAAGTGTAGAATTTGTTATTTATTTGTTATTTATTTTCCACCTTTACATTTTTTTTAATAATTTGTCAATTAATTGGTGATTTTCCAGATTTCTTTTGTATTCTGAATTAATTTTTAATTTACAGATTAACGTTTTGGAATTCAAAATCCATTAATCTACAGATTCTACACTCTACAGTACTTACCTTTAAATTTGTTGATAAAGTTTTAGGAATTGATTCTAAAACTGACTTTTCAACTGCTTTGGCAATTCCACATTAATTTATAAATTTCAGAATTTAAGGCTGGATTCAGAATAACAAAATGTGGTTTCTATTTATTCTTAATTTATTGATTCAGCACTAATTTGCAAATTTTCTAGTTTTTTCCCCTAATTTACTGACCACATGAACGAAATTCTGAACGAGCACATCCGGACGCGGACGATGCACAACGGGAAATACTTTTCATTCCTCGCATCTCAACCGTAATACTGCTTCGAAAACATCACAAAAAACCTCTGGCTAAAAAAAACCCGGGAAACCGCGCTCACAGATAAAACTTAGCCAAAAATAAATAACGCTTTAAACTACCAAAACATAAAATAAAAACGCCTGCATAGTGAGCGAAGTATCGCAGCTGCGGCTGCGGCCCACAACGCCGGCAGGCCACAACGGCGAAACGCGTTCCCTCCGGCCTGCGTGTTCTCTGCAAAGAATCATCATCCATAATCTCCAACTTGAAATACTTCAAACAAATTCGTAATAATTTTTAACGGTCACTTTATGTATTACTATAATTAATTCCAGCATTTTCGGACCTGGACGATTAAATGAAATGCTTGTCATTTATTTATTTGATCCCTATTTTTAGAAAGCAGAATTCGGAAAATAATTTGAACAAAATTATTTAATCCCTATTTTTAGAAAGCAGAAACCGGAAAATAAAAGGAACAAATTTATTTATTCCCTATTTTTAGAAAGCAGAATTCGGAAAATAAACTGAAACAAAATTATTTAATCCCTGTTTTTAGAAAGCAGAAATCGGAAAATAAAAGGAACAAATTTATTTATTCCCTATTTTTAGAAAGCAGAAACCGGAAAATAAAAGGAACAAATTTATTTATTCCCTATTTTTAGAAAGCAGAATTCGGAAAATAAACTGAAACAAAATTATTTAATCCCTGTTTTTAGAATGCAGAAATCGGAAAATAAACTGAAACAAAATTATTGAAACCCCATTTTTCGAAAGCAGAATTGGTAAAATAAAATGAAGATATTCTTTAATTTGCAATTTCGTCTCCGCATTTCACATTAATCCAAAAACTGAAAAACGACCCGCCACTGTCCGGAATACAACTGTGAACGTACTCGATGGGCAGCGAGGGAGAGCCTCTAGGGACACGGAGACGTGGCGAGGCAGTTGGCGAGTGGCAGCCTTCTCGGGATTGTACGCTCCTGGACCAGGCACGTCGTTAGCTGCAAAGAAAACAGTGCAGCTGTGGGGAATGATAATCCACGCTAGTTCCTGGTTCGTTAGAGAATCTCCCTCGTACAACATCACCGCAATGTGCACTCGTTAGCGTACCCGCATTATCGAACGCACGCTTCATCGGAGCCTTTGGAAACGTAGTCATTCTCGATGGATATGGCAAGATCGAGGAAGGTACTGTAAGGGTACACGGATGCGTCGAGTCGGAAGAACCCTGCAGACCAATGCACAACACTGCGCGGAGACCTGATAAGTCGTAAAATCCGTACAACCAGTAACACCGCGTAAATTCTCTATTCTGTGAAAGACAATTTTTCGGCAGATACGATCACACGATTCCGATACAAAACGCCACAGCAAATTCGCATGAAATTCGGAAAAACTTTTCCAATTTATTTTCAAATTATGGCAGATAAACCGAGTAGTAAAACAACGGGCCCATGGGGACCGTCAGCTATAGCCATTGTTAAAGAGCTGGGCAAACGACTGAAACAACATACTGGCGAAAGCCGTTCCCATGAATTTTTGCGTCAGAGATTATCACTGGAGATACAACGTGGTAACGCAGCATCGGTTTTGGGAACAATGGAAGGAGCAGAAAAGTTTAATGAACTTTTGATGCTATAAAAAATCGTGCTGTTCTTTATTAATGTGTATTACGTTATACCAAAGGTTAATAAAAATCACAGTAGTAAAAAGATACACTGTGAGAATATGAATACGTAATACTCTCAGCAAGGCGGTTGCTGCCTACACACGCATAACCCCAATAAAAATCCAGCAATAAAATTCTGAAAAGGATTTTTGGAATATTTTCGCGAGTAAATCATCTCAAGTGTTTTTATCTGTTTCTAGCCTTGGTATCTATCAGTATTCTCTTTTTTATTCTTCGAAAATTGATGGATGATGATGTTGGCGTTCAAATATTGTTCGATGAAGTGGTTGATCGAGCCTGCAAAGTGATAGAAAGTAAACGGGCCAGCTTGACGAAATCCTGATACTTTTGGTTTGTGACGGTTTTGTCCCGATTGATTCTCTTCCCCACGTTTTCCGCCATGGACGAACCGGACCGCGGTGCCATCCCCGACACCCCGCATCCCCCGCGCCCGACCCCCCTCCCGCCCCTGAACCGGAGCCAGCCCCCCTCCTGTCCCCCCGCAGCCCCGACTTCCTCGATGAATTCCTGGTGCACGCCACCACCGCCCACGGGGACGGCGCCCCTGCCGAGGGCTCCACCGCCCCCGACGTGGACATCACGGACAACGATCCCTTCTTGGCGGAGCTGTTCTCCGCGCAGCCCCCCGCGGCGCCCCCGACCGACGTAGAGAAGGAGGAGCCCCCAAAGGCGGAGGAGAAGGAGCCGGAAGCGCCACCGGTGTTCAAGCGGCCCTTCAGCCCCCGCGCGGCCTCCCCGACGGAGGGGGCCGCCGCCCCCGGGGAGCGCGAGCGCGACGTCAGCAGCCAGTATGCGCGGATGCGCCGGGAGTTGCGACTGCAGCCGCATCCGCTGCAGCGCTGTTTCTTGACGGGGATCAAGCAGAAACGCGCCGAGACCGATGACGGGCACATGGCGGCCATTCTCAACGTGAGTGACGGCCAGGTATTTATTTTTTTCTATTCTATTAAATTTCCCTCGTCATTGATTGCCAATTTGGTTTTGAATATTCGCGTATTTTCGCTGATAATTTAAATTGCAATTTTGAGCGTTAATAATTAAATAGAATTTATTTGTCAAACTAACAAGTTGTTTTTTTTATTTTCAGTCAGATTGTTAATTTTGCGTGGATCATCAGCTAATTAGTATCAGCTAACCATTTGAATTACAATTTTAATTTGGTGATTATAACGTAATTTTCGAATGTAGAATTTAAAGATTGGCTTTTTATTTAGAATGAACTGCCAAATTTTGAATTTTATATTTTATTTTATGAGAATTTCGTATCTCGTTTTACAAGAATTTTTCTAATTTATTCTATTTCATCAATTTATAACAATGTTATTTGGAAAAAAAATGATTGTATGTCAATAGTTTAGCGATGTGTTTGAAGGTCTGTAAACAGTAAACATCACGAGACAAATCGTAGTGTAATGGCGGAGCGGCCATTCTAAACATTGCAGTTTATACGAGTACATACACTCACTCCTCCTGTCAGTCTATGTGACAATTAAATTAAATGCCAGCTGCAATTTAAAGTACGATTTTAACTATTTTTTTGTGTTCTATTACTGTATATTTTTGCTCAGCGACTTAAGTCAGTCATTCCACTGCGGCCAGTATTGCACAATCAAGAATTAAAAAAACAACCAAAATCACTAATATCAACAACTTTATTTTTTCCCGGCAAAGTTCCTAAAACCGCGGCCGCATTGCTTTACGATTTTAACTTGTTAATTGTTATTCAGATTTTTAAACGAATATGATATTGGTTTTTTATGTGTAACACAGTTGTTCGGTAAAATTGTTTACTTGATTGCTTATGGAGAATGATATGTATTTCAGTTATTATAATAGCGCTTATATCTGACGTAACCGTATATTTACTTGTTAATTTAAGGTAGTTTGTTCTGACAGTAATGACCTTTTTTTATGGTATATGATTTTGGAAATATTCTGTAGCATAATATGGTTTGAAAGTTTTAATTACGTATAATAATGGCGCAGAATTTTCACGTTACTTGGTTTGCTGTGACAAGTGAAGGTCGCTTTTCCCTGGGAAAGTTTATTTCTGCATTTCGCAATTACATCCAAAATAAGCGGAATTAATTGTATAATTTCTATTATTGGCTCGTATTCGCGCAGATTTCGCTATCGGATTACCTGCCGGTAATAAAACACGCTAATAAGGGTTTGACTGTTTACCGTGATCGGTCTACGAAAAATCATCACTGCAAATGGCGATTTATTGATTTTTCCCATGTTGATTTTGCGGCATGCTTGGCCGGTAATCGCTTATTGGGCTGATTACGTTTGTACCTGGCATTGACATTTATTCGTTGATTCCTTGAGCAAAATGAAATTCAATCGCGCAGCTAATGAATTCATAGAAGCGCACGTTGCAGCTCAACTGTCAACACTCCATATAATTTGAGCGTGTTCACTGCAAAAAAGAAAAATATTTTATTCATGAAGAAGGGCATTGTTTGGGCTAACGAGTTACGATAACACTTCAACGGTAATCGTTTCGTGTAATCTCTTTAAATACTGGTAATCGTGCCGTTTTCGAATTTGGAAACATTTATTGCAATTTTGTGCAGTTTATGAAAAATTAAGGAAAATTCTTGTCACTATAAAATTCGTATTAATGCGGTGGAAAATCGAAATTATTCCAAGATCGTGAAATACTCTGTAATAAGGAACTATTTAATTTGGCTGCAGTTAATTTAAATTAAATGAATTTATACGTAATACAGGGAAAGTTATTTTAAAATGCAGAACAATTATTTGTAACAAGCTTTAAAGACGTAGGAAAATAATTTAAAAATACAGGGAAATAATTTTACAATATTGTAAAATTATTTCCCTGTGTTTTTTAAAAAATTATTTATTTTTAAATTATTTTTTGCTTATCCTCTGCATTGCATTATTTTGATATGCAGAGCAAACACGGGAAAATAATCTAAAAACACAGGAAAATAATTTTAGAATGCAGGAAAAGTATAAGGAAAGAATTAAAAAATGCAGGAAAAATTCCTCGCTGTAGGTTTTAAAAGATTCCGGGAAGCTGCTGCTGCCGGACGTGGTGCTGCAGTCGTACCTGGCGGAGGCCGGGCTGGAGGTGCGCGACAGTAAAGTGGCGCGGCTGGTGGGCGCCATGGCCGAGCAGCACACCGGCTCGCTGGTGCAGGACGCCATGCAGATCTTCCTCGACGGCCAGCACGAGCGCCGACGCCCGGGAGGTGGCGGCGGCGGCGGCAATCCGCACCCGCCGGCCGCCAACGCCAAGGACAAGGAGACCGCCAGCGGGGTCAGCGGCGTCAGCAGTCAGACCAGCAGCAGCACCGCCACGTCCTCCACCGGCTCCGCAACCGGCGGGAAACCGGCCAAAGGCAAGGCCGCCAAAAATACCAACGGTCAGTAAAAAATTTGTTGGTTAATTTTGGGGCTAATGATGTTATTTTTCCCGTGAGGAGAAATTTTTGCCCTTTTCTTTAAGTTTTTCTCGTGATTTTATGCGAAAAATGCCTTTCAATTATTTTTTAAATGGTTATGTGCTTTCCGTGTAAACTGTTTTATATTATATAGTTTGAAAAATGAAGGAATTGTGAAATTAGTTTTACACTTTTTTAAATTCACCGTCTTCTTAAAACCTGAGAAAAGGTTACAATTTACTTATTTAACAGTTTCTTTAGTTTTTTACATCTGTTTGATTTTTTTAAAAAATTTAAAATTAAAGTAATTTAAAGATGAAAGCTGGCTACATAATTCTGATTGTAAGACTTCTTAAATTTGAAAAAAAAACTCAAAACTTATTTGACTGTGTGTGTACTTCAGTTTTACAGTTTTATTAATTTTTTATTTTTTAAAAACACTGCAATACTTTAAAAATACTTTAATACTTTTACAATACTTTATTAAAAATTAAAAAATATTCACCCAGTAAAATAACGGTTGTATACAGGGAAAAAGAGCGGCGGGAAGGGTAAACGCCGCAAAGCCGACACCGACCCCTCTGAACCCCCCGCCGACGACCTCTCCCTGCCGCTGGACACCCCCGACCTCCCCGGGGACCCCGCGGACACCCCCGGCGGCCCGCCGGACCCCGCGGCCCCCGACGGCGACGGGGGCGCCGCCGGCGAGGTTCTGAGCGAGCGCGGCGCCGAGGAGAAAGCGGCCTCCATCGTCTCGGGCCGCGACAAGGACCGCCACCGTCTCACCCGCCGCGAGCGCGAAAAAGAGGCCGAACGCCGCAACCTCCTCAGCATGGAGCTGCTGGCGCCGGTGCTGCGCGAACACGGCTACCAGGTGGGCCGGCCGCCGTATTTTGTCAATTAAAATATGGATTTCTCGGCCTTTTCACTGGCCCACGCGTTACCCCACTTGATTCGCGGATTTTCGTGTGGCGTGTTTAAAAAGGGATTCTTCAGCACGCGCGCCAGCGTCATATATCTGTTTCGCGATGCAGCGGAACGGGATGGGTGGAGGGCTTCGTGGAAGGCCCGCTCCTCGAAATAATCCGCACTTTATCGCCCGTTACGTGTCGTCGTTTATCGAATTAATTTGAATCGGTATTAAATTATTAATTTTAATTTTTCAACGGTCATTTTTATTAACGCTGAACGATGATTGGCGCTGATTTTTTCGGATTATTCTGTGGGTGGATGTTGCATGTGATTTGTTGTAAATTAATTGAATTTTCCTTCCCGGCGTATTCGTGGCATTTAATCACGGTTTATCGGTATTTGTATACACCCGAATTATACGGTATTAATTGTTAATTGTCCGGCTATTTCTAGCGTGACGCCATTCACAAAACATTAATTCAATTAATTCACAAAAAATTAATTTAATTTAATTCAATTTTCGACCCGGCTTTTTCCTGGCATTTGTTATTAACATTTTGTCGGCATTTTTATACACGATATTCTCGCGAAATATACAGCTATTTTTAGCGTGGCGTCGTTGAAAAAAAATAATTTAATTTTTGACCGGTGTATGCGTGGCATTTATTAACGGTTTATCGGTATTTGCAATAATTTTGCATACACCAAACATTAAGTGATATTACTGCTAAATCTCCAGCCATTTTATTGTTCCGTCATCCAATAAATTAATTTAATTTTGTACATCTACAACGATTTATGGAATAATTATTTACACTAATTATCACAGCGCGCCGGATGATTTTTCGCGGCATGGGTGGGTTGTTATATACGGCGCATGCGATTATTTTTACCCACAGTAAGTAATTATTATCATTATTATTATTATTATTATTATCATCGAACTAACAGTAGCCAAACTCCACTGTCAGACTTTTAAGGCTATTGGAATTTATTTTCGGTATTAATTGACAGAATTTAATGCAACGGTCGTAGCATGCGTTTAATTTAATTCAACGATCGTGGGGGTAACGAATGCGGGAATATGCCGATGATGCCGAGTGGGGCCGATGCGCAGCGCGCTGATTAAGCAAAGATTAACCGGGCGCAAAGGTCACGGCCAACCGCTGCGTGCAGACACGCTGCAGCTGTAGTAGTATTTTGACGTGTTGCGATGCGCATGGACTGCCGCGGAGGAAACAGACAGACGCGATCTTCCTCTTTGCCTGCAGTTTTTGTGAAGGGAAGGGGATGATAAAGGAGAGCATGGAGGGTATACACAAACGGACAAATGGGCTTTTAACCTGCAATTGCCCTTGAACGCGGGATGATGCTGTTAGTTGGCGGTTTAATTGCTGCGCCCGCGCTGTCGCTGACTGGAGTCACTGTTATGCTGCCGCCGGGGATGCGGTGCATTAATCCCTTCATTTGTCAACAGTCGCCAGCTTGCGATCGCTGTGATCTGCGCCGGGAATATACGACACATCCACTTTATATCGTCCGACGCGAGTAATACGAACGCGGCTGTTTTGAATACGCCTGCATTCAACGTGCTGTACGTACAGGAAAGATACGTATTGTACACAATAATCGTTAAACTTTACACTTTAATACGCGTCAGCTCGGTTCTTTCATTCAATAGCGCATAAACCGGTTTTTAAAGCCATTATACAAATACGGTACTGTACCTCCTGTTATAACATGAATGCACTCGTTGCGGTCGAAGTACGTACGCGCCAGAAGGCGCTCTTCTTTTTCTATTCACCATCAGTTGCGCAACCGGCTATAGCGAATTATTTTTATTGTTTGAACCGGTTTTTATAGCCGCCGTACATTCGCTTCGGTTGAAGTAGGTACGTACAGCGGCGCGTCAGCTCATTCAGTTGCGCAAGCGGCTATAGCGGTATTTTCTAAACCGGTTTTTATATGCGTTAACACTCGCTTCGGCTGATGTACGATTGTACGTACAACTGTACGCAATACAATTAAAACCCAGTGTGTACGCGCTGCGATACCTGACACGGACGGTCCAATGGGAACCGGCGAAACTAATGAATACCGGCCACTAGGGAACGCGGATGTAGCGGGAATATCTGGGATGGCATCGCACAATCAGCGCCGGCGCTGTGCTGCGGCGAATTCGCTCCGCTTGTATACACTATTCCCTGCGCTGAAACACCTGACATACACACAGTACGCGGCGTATAATAATCATATCACATCCGGTAAATGCAGCGCCCTGTGCTTGTTGATCGGGCACCGTCGACAATTAATCCAATTACCCGTCGTGATTGAGCGGGACCGGTGCGCTGCGTGGGCGGGACCACTGCCGTCGTACCGATACAGCTGTATATATTAATAACGGGATCGCTGATATCGCGATGCTGTCATTTAAGCCGCGGCTCGCATTTTCGCTCCTGGCACGCCGCTTAATTGCCGGTTGATCCGCTGCATAGTGCCGTGTGTGTGTTATTCCTACCGTTGCACGCCGCAGTAAACAACTCCGCTTGACTGATTTCTTTATTTTCCCCTCGGATTTTTTCCGCGTCGGCTAAAAATATGAACGCAACGACCGCCCGTCCGGACTGGCCGGGCGCCCCCGCGGGCGGCGGGGAGGAGGACAGCGGCGAGGAGGGTCCGGAGAAGTTCCCCCTGGACTACCGCGTCATCGCCACCACGCTGCACGTCGTCATCTTCGTCCTGGGCGTCGCCGGGAACATCGTCTTGATCGCCGTGGTGGGTCGGTCGCGGCTGCTGCACACGCCGACCTACGCGTACCTGGTGCGTACATATATGTTTATTTATAAATTTTTTATATTGTTATTTATCGTGCATTTAATAAAAAATAAAAAAACATTAAAATAATAAACACAAAATATATATGCTTATTTTTTTAATTTTATATATTACTGTTTATCCTGGATTTAATAAAAAAAAGAAGAAAATTATAACAATAAATACACGTACAAATTGAACATCAAAAAATATCAGATACGTTGGGTTTTTTGTAAAACCATTTTTATATTATTTATTTTGCATTTTTACTCTGCAATATTTGGCTTTTTATATGGATTTGCTTAAGTGTGCCTGGCGGGTACATAATATACTGACAAGTTATATCCTGGGAAGAAAGTGGGATAATAATTAGCCAAGGGCCTGACGTCAATGCCGAATGCGGATTAGATGAGCGGCAGCGCGCGCTTTTGTCCCGGTGTCGGCTAATGTAATTGCTAATGCAGTTATATACCGAATGCCGGTATATACAGATACTCGTATAATAATGCCCGCTGCCGTAATAAGCCGATTATCCCGGGCCATTTTATTTTCCCTGTCGCGGTTTTCCCCGGCCACTGCACGTCATGTAAGCCGGTGAGCCTAAACGGGGCTTCCCCTAAAAAGGGATCGCAGTCAGCCGGCTTATATATTTATCTGCATTAGCGAATTATCATTCTTCGTCAGGATTTTCTCTATACGAATAAATCGCCGATTAATCATAATAACAACGAAGCAAAAAATTAATGACAGGGATTTAAAATGAAAATTCTGCAAGATAGTAATAACCGCCAGATTAAGAGCAACTGAATAAAATAACAACAAAACTGAAAAATGTGAAGAGTATATAAAAAAGTATAAAAAATATATTTTGTTATATGCTAAATAATAAAAATATAAAATGTGAATATAAAAAAATCTGGAAAAATAATAATTTTTCCGTATCAGTTAAAACGAAAATTGTACAAAAATTAATGGCATTTCACCGTTAATTTAAATGCAAACGAATCGATTAAAATTAAAAATCTGTACCTTTTATATATATAAGAAAATTTATATATATAAAAGTACATTTTTTATATATATAAGTACCTTATATATATATTAGAGAATTTAATCTAAGCAGTGAAACATTTTTTTCCGGAGATTAAAATTTGACAGTGTTCAAAGGGAGAAAAACAATCAATACTCATAACACTGTCAAGAGCGTAATGTAATTAAGAAAACAGCGCGATGTGTCGGCGCGCGCGTTGATTACTTATTGATAAGGTTATCGCACTAACCGGGCACTACATCACGCTGATGCCGTCCATTAACGCGGCGGATCGGTCGTGTGACTCTGTTAATATACGCGCATATAGACGAGTATATACCCGATTGGGGAAAACAAGCAGGATGATTGAAAAATGCCGGTTGCGCGTTGTTGGCAGGTTTCCCTGGCGGTGGCTGACCTGCTGGTGATCTGCACGGCCATCCCGGAGGCGGTGGTCTTCCACCATCTGGGCAAGCGCTGGCTGCTCGGACCGGTAAGTGGTTGCCGTTGTTTACGCGTTACAGGAAGCCGCATAGCGTCCACACTACGCTACGCTATAGTGATCTCCGCGTTTGATAAGCCGGTTCGTCATTCAGACTGTTTCCGGTCGTTTTTGAAATGAGTTGACATGAAATTGATTTTAAACGGAATCTGTCAACTGTACAACGAAATTTACAGTTTTTTTTCCTAATATTTCCTGTAATGAACAAATTAAAAAATTATTATAAATGGCGGATATATCGTCATTTTCAACAGAGCAAATTTCAAGATATTTAATTACAGTAAATCGGCATTAAGTTTGATGGAAATCTCCGCAAAAAATTATTTAAAGAATAATTTCAGTATTTAATAATTTCAGTATTTAAAATTATTTAAAGAATAATTTTAAATACTGAAATTACAGTAGTACCATCCTGGTTTGATTTTGACATTTGAAATAAATCTGATCGGAAATGAAAGTCGATTTGTAATTTTAAAAAGGAAAGCTTAAAATTTATTTTCCGAATAGTCTCTGATAATAAAGACATTTATAATATTAACTGCGTTATTAATATTTGCTAATAAGTGGTTATTTTAACATATATATCGGAATTAAATTTAATAGAAATCGCCATCCAAAAATATTTAGAGAATAATTTAAAAAATAGATTTTTCAAAGCCGTGTTTGATTTTGAAATGATTTGATTGGACTCTTGGAACGTAAACCGTCTGAAAGGTGATTTCCAGCCTATTCAGCTAATTCCCTGGGCATTTGCCGGTTGCCAGTTAATGCGACCTTGTAAATTGCCAAAAAGCCGGGAGAAATCGCGGCGTTGTCGGCATAGATTGGGTGTAATCACGGTAACAATGCGCAGCGCTTATGTTCTCCGCCGTTTTCGCAGGCCGGATGCGCCATCTTCATCTTCCTGAATTTTCTCGGCATCAACGCCGGAAGTCTCAGGTAGGCCGACGTACAAACAGCCCGGACATGCGGCACGTGGCGCAACGCGAGCGGCTGAATGGGCCGTTTATTGTGCGCGGCACACGGCCGGCTTAATCGTTTTCGCCTTTCGGGGAAAAGTCAGACAAAGGTCACCGGCTGTACTGTATACATGCAACCGGAAGGTCATACTGTAGGCGGGTTTATTGTGTTTTTGATAAAGGCAGTTATTGCAAACAAATACACTGTTCCAAAAATCGGTAGGCGTTGGTTCATTTGAATGAGTTATATTTATAACCATACAATAAGTTTTCTCAAAATTACTTAAATAAACTATTTTGCAGTAAATCACTGCTAAAAAAATTAAGTAATTAGTAAATAATTATTCTGCAGTTAAATTAACGCTGCAAAAAGATGATTCAACCAAACAAAATACATCTAATTATTTTAGATACTTATGTACGTAAATGCTTATATATATATTAGATATTTAGATACTTTTAGATACTTATATACTGTACTGCATTTAAATGAATAAATTTCCTTACAAAAATTGGTAATGAAGTAAAAACATTTTGCAACGAAATAAAGTAATAAAACAGAAAATGCAATAAAAAAATAAACACCACCCGGCTAGAAACTGAGCATAAGTATATAAAACAGCAGGTACAGCAATTTTAGCGCACTGTTGCACTTGTCAGCACTAAATTGATGATGGCCACTACACTACAGTTTGGCGTCAGCCGTGATTTTGCATTTTGCATTTTTCGCTGTTTCAGTTGCTGCTCAATTAGTAGTCCGGCTTGTAGTCAGTATTCTCTATTACTTTTTCAATACTCAAAAAATTAATTTTTTTGATTAGCATTTTGGCGTTGACGATGGAGCGGTACGTGGCCATCTGCCGACCCTACCTGGCCCGCAAATTCTGCACGATGGAGCGCACCTCCCGCTCCATCGCCGGCATGTGGTGCTTCGCCATCCTGTACTGCTGCCCCTGGCTAGGCCTGACCGAGGTCAAACGCGAGCCCTTCCCGCCCTTCGCCGAGCAGTGCGAGTTCCGCCTGCCGCCGGCCACCTACATGATCGTCTTCGCCGCTGACCTTTTACTCTTCTACCTGGTCCCGCTCTTCGTCGCCCTGATCGTCTACGCCAAGATCGGCGCCATCCTCTGCCGCAGTCTCAGTCTGCTGCGCCGGGAGGACGCCGGCAGTGGCGGCGCCGGCGGCGGGGCCTTCCCGCGGGCCTCCTCGACGCCGTGCTCGCTGCACACCACCCCCAAGAAGGGGACGACGCTGAGCACCCTCCGGGGCGGCGGTTTCTCCACCACCGCCGGGACGCCGCACGCGCCGTTGCTGGAGACCGTCGAGCGCGCTAGTTACGGGCATGGGGAGTATTTGGAGGGGCGCGGAAAGGTCACGGGGGATCCGCGGGAAACGGAGAAGATGCAGAATCTGGCGGTGATCAACTCTCGCACGCAGGTAATCAAAATGAAGAAAATGAAATGTCTTTTGGCAGTCAATTACTGCAGAAATTATGTAAGCCTCATTTTGAAAAATATCTGTTTGGCCCTTAAAAAAATATCCAAACATCAGTAAACAGTGAACAGAATCGTACGGTAAACTGTAGTAAATTTAAGTAGAACAAATTTTAATACAACTTATTTTACACTTATTTTTTAAAAATATTGTACAAAAAGATAATTAAAAAATATTCTGCACTTAATTGCTGCAAATAGTGAACTTAATTAAAGAAAGAATATATTTTTTGGAACTAGTAATGGTTTATGATAAATGATTTTGCAGGCCTGTTTAAAGAAAAACAAATCTTTTTTATATGGAAAATATACAGGCCGGCAAAAGAACGTAAAGGTCACGGGCATGTGCGGGCATCAAAAACCGAGTTAAAAACATGCAAATTTTATTATAATAATGGCTAATTGATTAGCACTGATTTTGTGGTGAATTATTATTACGCAAGGCCAATTTAAACGGCGGAAAACAAAATATCAAATTCCTTTTGCAAACTACCCAGTTGTTGACAGGCCGACAGTGGAACGCAAAGGTCACCGGCACGTGCCGGTTTGTAAATACGCTCTGTATACGCACAACCGGCGGATGCAATGTAACGTGACCTTTCTGTCCGCCACAGCGTGTAATTACGCGGCCAAAGTAAGGCAGCGTTTCTGCTCGATACCCGGTGATTACAACGTAGAAACTGCCGGCACGTGCGCGGCTTTTTTTGCTGTTTCTCTTGAGTTACCATGTTTACTCGCAGATCCTGCGTATCCTCATCGTGATTGTGGTGTTGTTCGCGTTGTCCTGGCTGCCGTTCCGCGGGCTGTTAGTGTACAACTCTTTCGTGAAAGAACCCTGGCTGGATATCTGGTATCTGCTCTTCGCCAAGACGTTAATTTACGTCAACTCCGCCATTAATCCCTTCGTCTACAACGCCATGTCTAAGCGCTTTCGCTTGGCCGTTCTGCGAATGCTCTGCGGCCGATGTAAGCTACCGCTGCCAATTATCACGCAAATAATTAATTTATCTGAAATCAGCCAGATTTTTTAAAATTTATAATATTTTTTCTATTATTTATTTGCCTAAAGTGTTCTATTTTATTTTTTTACGAGGATTTGTTTGCAGAAAAAATAGTCTAAGCGCGTTCTAAAGACACTTTATTGGATTTATTCATGTGTAATCAAATTTACTTTTTTAAACGTGTCAAACAATGATTACTGCGCAATATGTAAAGGTCATGCCTTACTTGAGAGTTGTCACCTCGATAATTAATAATTTAATGCAAAATCGATCGTTTTATTTTTGTATACATCAAAAGCATTTTGCCTGCAAAAAAACCAACGTAAATAAAACATTAAACGAGATCCAGTTTTAAGTTCATCCTTTTTTATAAATTTTTTTTCTATCTATGCCAACTGTATAACAAAATTTGTATAACAAAAAATTATCGAGATGCAGCAAAATGATTAAACTAAATTGCAAATAAAATTAATCCACCCATTTTTTATTTAATCTGCGTTGCAGTGATCTCCAAGAGTAACGAGAAGAGCCGCACCCACCGCCGTCCCGGCGGCCCCCCGGCGCCGCCCCTCCGCCGGGCCGCCAACCCCGCGGCGGCCGGCCAGGGGACCGGCGCCCGGCCGTTCGTGCCGCGGCGCTTCTTCAACGCCAACATCCTCTTCAGCGACGTCCCGACGCCCACCTCCACCTCGGGCGGCTGCCGGAAGTCCAGCGCCCCGGGGGAGCGGCGGCGGGGACGCGGCGGGGGTCTGCCCAGCAGTCCCTCCGTCCGGGAGATGGACCGGCCGGTGGCGGCCACCCGCTCCGACGTCCTGGGCCCGAGCCGGCCCGGCCAGACCCCGGGCTATATTGCGCGCATCCGCGAAGTGCACTCGACGGTGGCGCCGCGCTCGCAGGTCGACAAAATCGAGGATGATCCGCTGCTGGTGATCTACAAGAGTTTCTACGATTACACGACAAATAACTACCATTCGTCGCCCAATTAAGACTTACAAATTAAATAATTTATTTCTTTCTCGATTTTTTAATTTATTTTCGGTCGATGCATCGCTCTTTCGGCACCTGTGTTCTAGAATAATATCAATAACTATACGCTTGCGCAATTAATGCGGAATTTTATTTATTTTCGTTAAGCAACGAATCTCAGAAATTTAATCAGTATTTTTTATTATCTTGCCCGTTACGATTTGTATCACGCTTGTGTAATTAAGATTGCGACGGTTTTTTTTATTAGCCTGGGTTTATAACTGATGCCAATACATGAAGGTCACTAACGCTGCATAAACAGAACACTGATCAGTCCATCGCATTAATTATGGAAAAAAATATTGTTTGTTTTTGGTTTTTGCCGGCATATTTGTGTTTCACCCGGAATACACCGCGACGCTGCTGGGCGTTTTTCTGCATTTCTCTCACGGAAAAATTCGGCGGTTTTAGTAGGATATTACGTGGTTGCGTCGCGCGCTGTTTACCACCACACCGAACAATGCCGGCAGTTTCTGTTTAATCACGATCACGCTACAGTGCCACACGACAAGAGCACAGTCGTGTTGATCAGTGTGTGCACAGGAAATCCTCTGGGCGATGCACGGTATAATAGCGGTGCGTTGCGGACATGAATTGGCGAAAAATGGAGAAGCGCAGATTTTCCAGGAGCATCACTGGTGTAATTGTCACCGGGACCACGGTGAAATTCGGTCTGAAAAGCGACGAAGGCGAGGCACGGCACGCAAACGGCTGACCACAGCGCAATTAGCAGATTAGCCGCATGACACACACTCGGCTGATAAAAAAAAACACAGCCTTTATTGCGTCTTTGTTTCCCTACTTCTATTACATTTTATTTATACTGAAGGTGCGGGCGCGCAGGCCAGCGGTGCTAAAATATAAAAAGATTTAAAAAAAAAAAGCATTACCGGGGTGAGCAGTGATTGTGTATGCGGCATGCACACAATGAGCATATGCGACGACGCGGTAATAATTAATTTTGTTGATCTCGTTACGAGCGATTTACCGATACACTGGAGACAAAACACTCCGTTGAATTTTCATTCATATCTTTTTTCTTTTCCACCTGGCCTACTGCGCCGCGGTGGCTCTGTTGGTTGCCCAATCCACCAATCGCCGCAGGCGGATTTAGTTAGTACGGCTTTTAGAATGTATCTGTGTACGTACAACCATTTGAACCACTTGAGTACTGTATCAAAGCTGCATTTAAAGTAGTATCAATTTTATCCGGTTCGTACGCGACGATACTCGTATGAATGCACCTCGTTCAGTTCAACCAACATCGAGTTCAAAGTGCAGCAAATACGTACGGTACGAGTATGAAAGTAGCACTCAATAATAATAAGTACAAGCGCACCGGTGTTCACATTGTCAACTATTATTAAAGCCGTATTAATACGTCAATGAGTGCAGCTGGCAGCTGCAGCCTGCAGTATATCCGGTTCGTACGTGCTTGGGCACTTGTACGTACCTGCGCACAGCCAGCAAGTATAACCGGTTCGTACGCGCCGGGACACTCGTACGTACCTGCTGTCCTGCGCACAGCCTGCAACTTGCAAGTTTATATATAATAATCCGGTTCGTACACATGGCACACCTTGCACTCGTACGCGCGCATCAAAGCTCATTGTCAACCTGCGCCGTCGACGTCAGTGAGTGGGTGCAGCTTTTGTACCTAGCCAGGAGCTGTACGTACGTAAGCGCAGTATTTACCTGATGTTGTGTGAGTGGACGCTGTCTGCTCTGCAACGGTAAAACGCCACAAAATCAAATGGTGGAAATGATTACCAATTCATAAAAGCGCTCGGGGACACATTTTCTCTTATGTTGCACACAGCTGCGATCGGCTGAGCGCAATCAGCGCCCAGTGATTGAGAAAAAAATATTTTGTTCCTTTGGCAAAACCGTTAGAACATAGAGTGCAGTCAACAGCCATTCTTTACGCTGAACCACGTCGAAATTATTCACTACACTTTCATTCACAGCAATATACTCTCCAAAACCCCATCATGCGTGCAGACCTGCCTGGCAACACGGTGTAATTCTGACCGCTGATGGCCACTTTACCGTTTTTCCTCCTTATTCTGTAACATCATTGTGTGATACATTATTTAATCGGACGAATCGCGTGAGGGTGATGGACGCAGTGGAGAGCGGCAGTCATGCAAATGGGCCGCACGCTGATTGGTCAGCGGCTGCGCCAGCTGATTGGTCCAACTGGACGGAGCCCGCGTCGGGTCCGTGGAACGACAGCGAGCCGCACCATGAGATGGTACTGCTGGCCTATCCCACGGATTACCGCGTCATCGCCACCATCTTACAGGCTCTCATCTTCCTGGCCGGAGTGGCTGGCAACATTATCGTTATTGTCGTTATCAGCAAGACCAAGAGCCTTCAGAGTCCCACTTACACTTACCTGGTACGTTTTAACTAATTACTTATTTGCTAAATAATGCTGAAAAATTATAGCAATACTATATCAAAATTGAATAACTTACATAAAATTATCTTGGAAATGTTTATTTTTTTGTTAAAAAGTTTTAAATAAATTATAGTATTATTTATATATGTGTATTTTAATAAATGTGCACATGTACCCTACCTGGTACTATTTAATTATTTACAACAGTGATTTTTATTCAGCAGTTAGCCAGTACTCAAAAATACCGTAGTTCGCGGTTATTTAAAAGTACTTCTTAAAATAGTTTTAAATAATTCTAGTAATAATAAATAGTTGGGCATATAACCTAATTAATGCCTGATGTTTCCGACAGATCTCGCTGGCCGTTGCCGACCTGATCGTGCTGGTGTCGGCGGTGCCAGAGGCCATCGTGGTGCACCACATCGGTAAGCGCTGGCTGGCTGGTCAAGTGGGATGCTCGCTCTTCATCTTCTCCAACTTTCTCGGCATCAACGCCGGCAGTCTCAAGTAAGACACCTTTTAAATTTTAATTGCGCAACGCCACACCCTTTTTTCTTTGTCCATCGTGTCTCGTATACGAGAGTCCACCTACACACCGGTTCCCTGTAGAATACTCCGTCTTTAAGCGCTCCATGTAGGCCGAGCTCTTTCATAACGGCAGCAAAATGCCCTAGCTGCTATTTTCCGTTATAAGCCTGCTTTTGTTATTCCGTATACTGTCGTTTCAATGACACGAACCGCACCCATCTGCAGCCAGTGATTATCGCCCGTGGCGAGCCTGCTGCATTTTTTCTCTCTCGTGTTGCTGATTCTGATTTAGCGCGCGATCACCGCGGCACTTAAGTACGGCCGCCGTATTATCGTAACCACGTTGTAATAAATCTGAATAATTTACATTAAAATCCTAGCGAAAGTGAGCAATTTTTCAATGTATTTGAAAGGTCAATCTGCCTATACCGGCAAAAATCGAAGGCACAATTTTTTCGGGCCCAAAAAACAATTGTTTCTCAAACCCACTTTCTCGAACGCGCGAATCGGCTTAATGAGCCGGTATGGGTGTGGCTTGATTGGCTTGAGCACCGCTAATTGATGCGCTTAATTGGTTATGTATATGAGCGCTCACGTAACCGCCGCGGACGCATGACGGCGGTGTGAAACTGTGAATGATGTGCCTTAATTGCTGCTTCTGTGATAGCGGTCGCTTAGCGGGTATAAACACCTTCGCAACGGCCCAGGAAAGAACTTTTCAAGAATTACTTGTATTCAGTGTGTAGGTGTTATAGTAGGCCAGAAAACTCGCCCAGCCAGACGATCAATTACCCGGCACGCAGTACGCTTAATGCGTCGTCCATTCTTAAAAATAATTTTATGGCGCTGCACACAGCACGACAACCGGTCGGCGCTCGTAATGCAGCGGCCCGCGAGGCATTCCCTTACATTACCTGTTTAATTAACGTCCCCGGGACACCGTTTTTTTTTCTAGGAACTAATCTAATGTGTTTTCTTTAAAAATTGATTACTTTTTCACAGCGCTTCTCTCCCGCGACGCATGCCCCATTTACTGAGAATAAATCAGAAAATCACTGCAGTTCCCGATTACTATTTTTACTCGCAATGATTTTAATAGCCTTTTTTTAAAATCATAGTTTTTTTAACAACCCTGTATCTTTTTGGAATGCCTAAATTTACTGGAAATAAATTTACAAAAATATAATGCAGTTCCCGATACTTTTACTAAGGATTAATTTAGTAATTTTTCAAAATTATATTTTTGTCAGCACTAGGTTTTTTTTGGAAGCCGCCCTCGTTTACTGGAAAAAATTAAAAATGTACAATTGTAAGGTCACTAGATTAAAAGCTGAACGCTTTTCTTTCGTAAATTGTAATTAATAAGAATCTCTTTCAGAAAGCGCGCTCGATTTATTACAAAAATGTAGAAAACGGTATATAAAATCGGCAAAATAGTTTTAAACGTTTGCAATTTTTTGGTTGCAGTATTTTGGCGTTCACGGTGGAGCAGTACGTCGCGGTGATGTGTTCGGGCGGCCGGTGGCGTGCCGTATTCAGCCGGCATTCCCGCATCGTGGTGGCGGTGGTGTGGCTCTTCTCCGTCCTGTACTGCGCCCCCTGGCTGGTCCTCACCGAAGTGCGGCAGGAGACGGAGTTCCCCTTCCGTGAGCAGTGCGAACTGCGCCTCTCCCGGGAACAGTACCTCGGCCTCTTCGGCGCCGACTTCCTGCTCTTCTACGTGATCCCCTTATTGGTGGCGGTGCTGGCGTACACCCGCATCGCGCTCTTCATGCTCACCGGGCCGCGCGCCTGTCCCTGGGATAGTCCGCTGGCGTCGCGCGGCAGCCTGACCCATCCGGACGCCGCGGCCGCCGGGCTCTTCGGGTTGCCGGCGCCGGTCCCGCCCATCTTCCGGCCGCCGGGCACCCCGTCCACGCCCACCTCCATCGCGGCGCGCCACACCGCCGTGGAGCCGCTGCTGGTGGCGGCTGCGCGGAAGAAGCTCCTGGCGCACGAGAACACGCTGGTGCGGGCGTCCGGGTCAGCCGCGACCTTTACGCAGCAGCGGAAATACGTCACGCCACAGTCACGCAAACAGGTAAAGCACATCACACCGTCGCCGGGGTTATTACAATTATAAAACTGATCAACAGGGTTAAATTAAAGTGATAAAATTAAAATATAAAAATGATGATACATATCATTTTTATCAATTAATTAAACAAATATATAAAAAATATATATATAATTTTAAAAAAATAAATAAATAAAATAAGTAAATATTTTCATGAAATTAAATAACGATCTAGTTCACAATTATCAAACCGGAATTTAATTTTCCATTAAGGAAAAGCTGTCAAGCGAGTATATACGTAAATGTGGCCCGATTATCTATGCCAATAATGGCCGACATTTTAACCCGCCCCCGCTTTCACTGCGCTTCCCCGAATAGCACTTTGAATACACGCTACAGTGCGCCAACTATTTTGACCTTAATGCCACACAATGACAGTTGACAGTGGCCGCGGGAGGCGCCCGGGGTGCGGCACAGACAAAGGTCACACGCCTGACTGGGCGTGTATAACGGCACTTTACTAAGAACTATGCTGTAGCGAGATATTTCTGCGTAAATCATTACTGAACGAGATTGCAATTAAAGGTGCTACGCATGCTGGTCATCATCGTGGTCCTGTTCGCCGTGGCCTGGCTGCCCTTCCGCGGGCTCCTCATCTACAACAGTTTCGCCAGTGAACCGTGGATGGACATCTGGTATCTGTTCGCTGCCAAGACGTTGATTTACTTCAACTCGGCGATGAACCCGATTTTATACAACGTCATGAGCCGGCGTTTCCGGCTGGCCTTTAACCGTATCGTCCTCTGCAAATACAACGCGGCCGGTACGCATTATTTTCCCGAAAACACTATAAAACACCGGTCGAGCGGAATAACGGCAAATTGGTTTGTTTTTGCAGTGAAACGCCGCATCAAACGCATGAACAACAACTCGAAGAATTCCACCGCGTCACGCAGTCACGTCGGACAGGATGCGCTGCTCCTCTACGCTTGACCGATTACTGATTGGGAAGAAAGGTCACGGACGCCGGGTCCCTTTCCGCGTCCCGCAACAGGGAAGCGCCGGGTCGCGCTGCGTTAATCAAAGTGAACGCACAATTGCCGGCAGCGCCCAAAGGTCACAAGGCGGGTCGCCGCGGCGTCCGCCCGCGGGCGTGATCATACGGACGCGTGTGTTCGAATTATGATGGTTTCCGTGAAAAACGCGTGAGTCAGTGTGGGGACGGGCGTGGACGCGCCAACGACTCGCGGGTACAACCGACGATTATCAGGGATTAATACAAATTTATGATGGAGGGATTGTTGACAAATCACGTTCGGCGCACGTGCACACCGCACCGAACTCTTTTGATTCTGCCATATATAAACGACATACACGCACATTACTTCTCTGTACAGCGGTTTAATCGTTTTATACGGAACTTGCCAGAAATGTGCTGGACCGTTTTTACCGGATGTTGCTCGGCACGGAGGATTTTAATTTACGGCACCGCACCGGCCGCTGTGTAATCGCACGGATGATTTATTTAATTCAACGTTAAAAGCGTCAGCATTTTTTTCCATGCTCAATGGATGCCCGCTGGACACAGTGTGCACCCGCTGCGAGGCGGCAGTTAACTGTATTTCTTAAATCGATGTTGACTGTATTATTAGTTGTTGAAACAAAATACACGTATTTGCCTGTCAAAATAATAAACCTCTTTGTGGTTTCAAAATAATTAAGGCAATTACAATGTCTCGAATGCATAAACGGTGTATACGAAGTTATAAACTTGACCTTCACATCGGACTCAGCATTCTGTCGAGCCACATTAAACCGGATTAATCTGCCCGATGCGAACTCCCGCTGTTACAGGACAAATTAGCGTATGAATATTTTTAACCGGAAAACGATCGCAGAATGTTGTAGCCGCGAGACAGGAATTAATTCCGCACTGTAGAGTCAGAAGACTTGTGTTCAAATCAGCCGATTAATTAATACCGTTTAGTGCACTTGCGCACTAGCAACGCATAACGCCTGTACACAGTGTACAGTTGCGGGAAAACGGCTACAACAGTTTAATCCCACTGTGGTGTTAACAATGCGCATAGAAAAACTAACAAAATCATGCACACACTGCCGGATGACAACACAAAACGATCGCGCTGTTTGTCTGCGCACGACGCTTCTGGCAAGTAACTCCAGTGAACTGTTTGCTGCGTTGCACATAACTGAACGGTTTTCGAGCATCAACATGCTTAAAGAGGAAAACATGTTTATTTATTATAGGTTGGTTTAATCCTTAACGTGATTGTCGCATCTGTAGTGCATGGCAAAGAGAACGACAACGGCGACCAATCGGATGCGAGCGTCCAACGGCCGCGCAACGAAAGCCGGCGAGGTACAGTACGTTCGTAGCAGTCTTTTAAACTCATACGTGTACAGCACGCCGTATACTAAATACTACCCGGGTAGCTGCATCTCATGGACCGTAAAATTCGGGGCTAATTGAAATTTCGTCATTTTGGTTTGTTGTTGTAAAACTGTGATGTTACCGCATTTTGGGTTAAGGGAATAATCGCTTTCTACGGTACGATTTAGCCTAACCGTTGTTAAAGGAAATGCTACGGCCGTTATGAGTACGGTACGTTACCTGTTAACCCACACGAAAAATAGACTTTGGTTATTTTTTTAATGTTTAAATTTTAGCTATTAAGTAGTGTACCAGCGCTTGCAGCTCTTGTTAATCGAGTGGCTGTTGCCTATAAAATTAAAAAAGTACTATGTATACTACAGCATACCCAGGCGTTTAAGCGGTGCAAAGGCATAGCATTATTATTTTGATATGTGAGAGTGCTCGTTTACGGACTTGGCTACTCGAAAATAAATAAATCAATCAATTAAGCAATGAATGGCAACGTTAATTAGACCAATCACGGCGTTTCGTGTTGATCTGTGTGATGTCATTGCAGACAAACGCCAGAGTGGCGGAAAATTCCCGGGAAATCACGGCCGCGGACAGATCTACCCTCCGCGTCACTATCGGCATGCACCCGCACCGGCTGCTGCTAAACAGTTTCCCAATGTTGCCGTTGCTGGTGAGCTGGTCCATGTACAAACCGGCAACAAAAGCCTCGCTGTATTAATGTATTAAAACCGTCCCACCGTGTGCGGCATTCCTTTATTTTGGCAGGCGACGGGGTCTCCAAGGAAATAGGGCCCGCCAGCAGCACCGGCAGCGGCGGTGCACCGGCACGTGGTCCCGATTTTACGGCCGATGCCAGTGCGCGCTATACACAGCGCAGTCAGGCGTTGGTGTACGCCGGCAATCCCACCTTCTTTGTCCTGCGCCAACGTCGACCTGTAGCCGATTTCAAGCCGCCGGATCAGATGAAGGCGGCGCCGGTTCCGGTCCCGCAGCCGCCGTCGCTCTGATCGGGGAAACCACTACTATTCCCCCAGTAACCACTGGCTTCTTTATGGATCTCACCGCGTCTGATCCACAGACGGCCGACTCACTCAGGACGCTTTTCGGCTGGTAGTTTTGATACGTACTTCGTATTGATACTATGCTCATATAGTGTTCAGATGCGAAGCGTTCTATTTCGCTGTCTCTTTTACAGTAGCTGCCAATGCGACTTTTCATGGCTGATGAAACTTTGTTTGCTAGTCTAGATTGACAGTATTAGGGGCATCCATAAATTACGTACGCAGAAAACCACGATTTTTTCACCCCTCCCTCCCCCTTCGTAGCGGTCCGTCACGTCTGCTTGAGCCCTCCCCCCTGGTTCGTTCAATCGTAATACATGGAGCTGACCACCCCCTCCCCCTGGGTTCGTCGAGGCCGTCACAGCTTGTCACACTTTTTGGACCCCTCCCTCCCTGGTTCGCTGCGTACGTAATTTATGGATCCCCCCTTACAAGGCGGCACTCGTTGTCGTTGCAGCTTGTACTTATCGCACTGTACAGTTCTCGTATGTATTGTATAAGGTCACACTGTTGTTGTTTGGTTCTATTTGGCCGGCCTGGCAACTTGGACATTGCTGTGAGGCTTGTGACCTTAGCAATCGTGCTAATCGAAGATCAGTCGCGTGTCGGTAGAACTGCAGAATAGTAATAGATCCTGATGTGATGCAGACTTGGGCCGCCAACGAAATCTCCGCTTTCGGCCCGCCCCGCTCTTGCTAAAAATTTTCCGCCCCGCTCGGGCCCGCCTTAACAAAAAAATTTCCCACTTCCGCCCGCCATATCTTAATTTCCCGCCGCCCGCCCGCTAAAAATATGAAAAATTTTTTCAGTGTTTTTCATTTTTTATTTTGTTTTCGTTTGTTCTTCTTCAGAAATGTCTGCTCAAAGACCAATTTTCGCGCGAAGCGCGAAGTCAACAACCAGTTTCGCCGCAAAAACCGTTAGAAATTCTATAAAAAACGAGTAGAATATTTCAGTAAATGATCTTAAATTTTATTTTATGCTTGATCTCCGCCCGTCTTTAAAATAATCCCGCTCCCGCCCGCTCACACTTTTTCCTCCCCGCCCCGTCCCTCCAAACTCAAAACTTCCGCCCGCTCCCGCCCTCCAAAAAAGCGGGGAGGGGCGGGAATGGCGGAAAATTTTCCCGCTCCGCAAAAAGGCGGCCCAAGTCTGATGTGATGCCTTTAATATGTGTCATAACACGAGTTTATTGTTTGTTGTTTATTGTAACGGTAGGCAGGTAACGTATTAAGAACTAGATCGTATTCTAGCGTAGGGATTATCTGGCTCACAAAGAAACAAAAATCAGACGCGTGAAGGAAGACCCAAATCAACCGACACAACGCTTTATCCCGACTGTACGCCGATGTAATCATAGTATATCATCATAGTACAGTCGAGTACAACGTATACATGCTGAAGCACCAAAACAAAAAACAGCATTCATAACAAAAACGCTTCCTCTATGCTATCCTGATCGGGGATCGTACCCATTACACAAATCGCGTTTCCCTTTTGTGTTCGGATAAATACTATTACTCGCTGTTTAAAAAAACTCTTTTGCCCGTTTCTGGCCAGTGGAAGTCGCTACACCGTTTCCAGCCAGTTAGTGCCTGTGGCTGTATGTATTTTGTGCAGGGATTACGAAACATTTGTCCGGTGTCCCGTATTTAATAAATATAAATCATAAATCATAAATTATCATAAATGGTCGTGATCATAAATGTCACTTGCGATTCTGTTGCTTCGAACGGATTGCGCGAGTCGTACAAAACGGATGTACAACTAAATGCGATGAAGGTTAAAGTGTTATCCTTTTCCCTTCAAACAACGTTTGACTAAAGATCAGAACAAGGCTCTTATGATTACTACATCTTGTAATTCAACCGGGTTTAAATTATTTATATTCCTATTACTACAACTTGTAATACATAGAAACAGAATAAAGCGCCATTAGCCATATCAGTCACAACGCGCAATAATCGAGCTTTCTCAGCAATTCCTCCGCCGACAACCTCTCATTAACATGGACTTGCAGGCAACATCGTACGCACTCGGCGAGCTGTGGGGGAACCGGCGGGGGAGCGTTAACAACGGGAATACAGCCGTGGACAACCACGGCCGCCTGGAATTCCATCGAGCCCAGCCGGCGCTCCTGGCCCATGACCTTTCCCGTCACCGGATTACGCAGTACCTCCTGGTGATCGCCGGTGATACAGCGCAGCAGATCCAGCATAATACTGCCCAGACTCCACACATCGGTCTTGGCGCCGGGAATCGCCGACCAGACGTCCTCCCGCGCGGCTATCGTGAAGGCCCCGAGAATTTCCGGGGACTGGTAGCGCGCACTCGAGCGTCCATGCCAGAGGGACAGGGAGCTGATGGCGTCGCGCAACAGGGTCACCAGGCCGTCCACGTCCGAGATGAGCAGTTTCTCCGGTCGGCCGTCACCCGCACACTCGATCAGGACGTTCTCCGGCTTTAAATCACCGTGGGTAAGGTTGTTTTGGTGGAGGAATGACAGGCCGTCCGCGAGATGAATGGAATACTGAACAGCTCGAGAGGGATCCAGAAGGGTTTTGCTGTTTTTCATAGTCTCGATTCTGGTTTTCAAACTGCCACCTAAGCAGCAAAATAGAACAGTTAAATGATTCTATCGCCAATCTAAGAATAATTAGTGTTGCTGTGTTATGAGAAATCACCTCTATTGCGACAGATACTCTTGTAACTGATGTTGCCGCTTACGCAGCAGTTTGTTGCTTGTATCATGCTTGAACTCACATATTTGTAACGATTTCTTTTGCATATTTCATAGCCTGTATGTTCTCGCGAAACCACGACGATTCATTCGAGTTAGAAACATCTTGGAAGTACAGTCTCATTAGTAATCGTTTGCGTTATGAGTTTGTAGTAACGCACATCATATATCAATGTTTTTATACACGCTTATCCTCTGTCTATGAGATCAATAAAAAACGATAAAGGTTTCTAATGTCGAACAATGCAGAAAATACGGTACTCGAATTCGTATCGGGTGAAAATGTTCGGATTTCAAAAAACGTCGAAATACAGGTACTATACATATGTATTGTTCGTACCTGGATAATAGTCCATCAAGAATTCAAAATTGGCACCCACCAGCGTTGGGCACACCGCGACTTTATGGTACTTCACTATGTGGTTATGTGTGAGGCGTAGGATGATGTGCAGTCTCTCCCGAAATCTGGCGTAATTGCTGGGATTTTCCAGAAACGCGGTGTACTGCATGTACACCCTTCTGGCGGCCACCGTGTCGTTTCCAGTATAATCCCCACGGTTTGTGATTGCCGCCTGGAAATCTTCGCCAATTGAACCATACCCAATCTTCCTGGTGTTCGCCCGGTGGTATTGGCAGGTGCTGCCAATTTGCGCATGTTGCATGATACTGGCAATTGTCAATATGTAGAAAAGAACTGGAAGATTGAAGGAGAAACTACTGTGTACGGTCCGTTAAATCCGTTGTGTTACATCTCTTATCCTTTGTTACCGAGTACGTTAAGGATTCTTGAATGCAGCAGCGGACTAATATTACAAAGTATCTAGTATGTATTGCGTATCGTATTAAACCATTAGCACAGTAAGCACGTGCAACTCTGCGCTGTGGTGCTGATTTCTTTCTGCAACTGTAGGTACACGCCATTCGGTACTCCGTAGCCTGTAAAAACTGTAAATAAAGTGTACGTGCCGCCGGTACCGGTGCGCCATCTCACTAGTCTTGCGATCGGCCATTCGCAGGCGGCATTCTGTTAGGTAGTGTCGCGTAATTAAAGGTTAGCTGAGACTCGGTGGATATGACCTTATCTACCGCTAACTACAACGATAAACAACTGCGGCTGATCTGACCCGATGACCTTTAATGCAGTGTCACGAGTACGACTGGTTGAAGTACATTTTGTATGGACAGTTATACTTTGATGTGGTTTGCAACGGAAGGAAGTGGCCAGAAAGTATCAGCCAATTAGTAAAGTGTTAAGTGTACTTTGATCTCTCATAAAACAATCAATAAAATGTTGTCTCATGGTTTGTCTATGAGTGTTTTTAAGTTGAAGGCGTGTTCTGTCATCTTTCATATTTTGGATCAGAAATCGCTTCTGAGTGCTTGAGGGAGAAGAACTCCTTGTGAATGAATTAATGTCATCTTGCATAGCTAGCAGCTCTGGAATATCTGGTCTTGGGAAGTGTTCTCTGGCATATCTTCTTGTCCTAGATGTTGTTGCACTGTTAGTCTGAATGAGTCTGTATAAAGGTCACCGTTAGCAGAACGATTGGGTTAGCGTCGTGCCTGAGTTAGCTGTTTAGTAAAGGTCATTCACCACCATAAACCATCAGTAGCTTTACGCTATCTGACATGGAGGGCATTTGGTGGTGAAAGTCATTCTATGTGTTTTTACGCGCGGTTGTGTGGTTTATCGAGTCGACTAAATGCAATAGTCATTGTTACCTGTCCGATTTCACCTGTGCGATTTTACCTGTGAACCCGGATCGCCTGCCTGTTACCGGTCTACAGTGGGATACCTTTGTGTTTGTTCTTGCGGATTGGATGCAGCTGGATGCCGGCGAGCACGGTGCCAACCGGATGACGCGGGCGAAGTTCGCGGTTGAAGAACCACACGGATGGTGTAAGTGGAAGATCGATAGCCGTGTCTAGTGAAGCATGCTGTTTAATTTTGTTGCGATGAGTCATTTCTCCCTACGTTAAGAAGATCTTTCCGTTTTGCACGATATTGCTTGGCTTGTTGTTATAATGGTTGTTACTACATGAATTTTGATGGAACGCCAGCGTGAATGGTTTAGACTAACTTTTTTCCTTGATACCGGTTTACGATTCGATAAGACAGAAGTCAGCGTTAAATGTAATGGGATACAACAGTTAGTGCACTACGTAGGTGATAGTTGTTCTTACGTCCCTTGTGTACAAAGAATCGAAGTTGCTAATCCAGACGGAAGTGTGGGAACGATATACCCATTGAGATAGAAATATGTACAAGGTCAACGAACAGTATCATAATTTTCGTTTAACTACAATAGCTGTGCTAGTCTGTGTAACCCGCCGACATACCACGCGTTTGTCAGCTGTTGTTTATCGGCTTGTACCGTAGATGTGATGGAACTCTTGTGGCCTCGTTGTTGCTTTCGTAACGTTCATGGCCGGTATTTTGTTTGGGCGTGACCGGCAATATCAGTTGCCGGTAACCTGATGTAGTTAGCAGCATGCAAATTCACGTCTCAGCATTGTTGGGCAGCGTTTTGTTTAATGCATCAACTTTATAGTAAACAGTGTCAGTTACCGGCACTTGCTTATGTAAGTGATAACTTTTGTTGAGCAAAAAAAAAGCTGAGTTTCCTCTGTATTTCTGTTCACTGTGTAAGTCTGTACTGCCGTGTTCATCCTGGCTTGTGCACATGTACACGCGCGGCGCAATCTCGTAGCTGTTGTTGGTACATAAATACCGGTACAACGGGTACATACCTTTGTTGTGTACTCTGTACATGTGATTTATTAACATGCACGGCAATGCCAATATACTCGTACCAGTTGTAATGATAATTTAGCTCTGCTTTAAGTAATAATTCTAATGATAATTGTAACTGTTAACCTTGAATTACAATGGCTAATAATAGCAATAAGCTATGCCTGCTACAAGAAGCACCTTACCGTTAACACATGTGAGTGAAAGGGAGCTTGTTGATAAAAGCGAAAAAGCCATAAAAAGTAGAAGTAACAAAGTGAAGCCGATTACCAGTAAAGAGCCGGTTACAGGCGCGAGCAAGGTTACAACCAATGATCTGAATAGTACGGTTACTGGGAATAACAACGAGTTTCTTAATTCTCAGGATAACGATATTTTGCCGGTTACTGCAAACCTAGAGTTGTTTGAGGAGAGAAAATTTGTTGGTGCAGTTGTACAGAACAAAATGGATGCAGCTGCAGTAAACAAATTAGCTGATGCTTTAAATAAATTAAATCCTGCCAAAGTCGACCGGAAGGTTAACCTTGCAGATTTGCCGTCATTTTCTGGGCAAGACTCAGAATCGGCGGCAGATTTTCTGATAAAATTCAAACTTTTTGGTGAATATTTCGAATGGGATAATGAAAAGTTGAAAGAAATGTTTCCGATGCGGTTAAACAAAGACGCTTTAAAATGGTTTATTACGAATAAAACTAAGCTACCAGACTGGGATGAAACTGAGAAAGAGTTTCTTAAAGTGTTTGGCAAAAGTGCGTACGACCTTGATCTGCAATCACTAAGCTTTTCTAATAATCCATTACAAAATCCTCTGGGTTACGTTTTCGAGATTCTCGATTACCTTCGCATAACAAACCCTCTTGCAACAGAGCAGGAAAAAGTACGCGTGATTTTTGAGCACATGCCACCTGAACTGAAAGCAGCAGTTATCGAAGACAGACCAGATACTGTTGATAGGTTTGTTGAGAGGCTTAAAGACATTAAAAGAAAACAACAGTACTTGTCGGTTGTCGGTAAACATGATACATCGATAAAAAAACTAACGTGGCAATAAGTCCGAAATGTAATGAGAAAGTACGGTATACAAAGTAGCGCAGGTGTAAAACTAAAGAATAATAATAATAATTAATGATCGTCGATCAATTTTTTGCGTGTTAGTTCAAAGCCTTTAAAAATAAAAACTATGACAGTAAGGCAACAGGCGGACAGTATGGAGTATATTAGTTATAGCTGTGTGTTGAAAATAAAATTTTTCTTTGAGTGAATAAAGTTGTATTATTCATTTTAGCCATGGACAGTCAGGGCCCTGGTCTGTAAATGGTGCATTTTCAAAAATATACAAACAAAATTGTGTATGATGATGATGTAAGAAATGAGATTTTTGTGAGGAATTTAGAGAGTTGATAGTGTTAAATTAATGATTTATTTTGCCGCCTGTTGTCTATAAATTTTTATCTGTCAGTAATGATGTTGCAGTCTAAACATCAGCTAATTCAGAATGTTGCTACAAATTTTTGAAAAACTGTGGTAAAATACCGTTACTTTCACTGAAACTAAGGTACAAGTAAGTTCCTGTTTAGTTATCCAATCGTTTTTAACTGGCCATGGGGGACGCCCTGATAGTCGGTTACTTTAGTCATAGTTTATTGTATACCTGCTTTCAACAAATTGTATATTGGAAGGCTCCTAAAATTTGCAATTTGCCACGCAAAGTGGAACAATTACTTGTATTTATTTAATCGGTGATTATTGTCAATAGAACTAGAATTTATTCACCTAAAAACAAATAAAAATGTCAAAATTTGTGATCTGTATAAATCTATGGTTAGAAATTAAAATTCACAGACAGCGCAATTGTACGACTAACCTTTTAATGATTTGTGTAACTGACTATAATACAGTGGTCTATTTCTCACTTTTCCAAACACGCGGAACTGTCTGTATGTTCCATGCATCCAAAACTGCGTGTAGGACGCACAAAATAAAAAACAGGCTTGTGCGAATATATTACAGCGGCAGCAGTAAATGCGGTGCAATGCACTCGTATGTTGTCAGATGTCTGCACTGACTCAGACGTTACGCATTGAAGCGTAACGCACTGAACCACCAAGTTGCCGGCATGTGACTAAAGTTCGATTACTCATGTTGCATTAATAAACCTTTCTGTTTCCTTGGTTTTTAACGCGGGCGCATTATGCTTGGTTAAATGTTGGTTTCAAGTTACATCAACCACATTTTGGTTAAGATGGCATTTTCTTCTGTTTCATTTTGCGTTTTTTTTCAAAGTGAAAATTGCATCTTCGTTTGGTTTGCACCATGTGTTGTGTTGTCGCATGTATTCATGTTCAATACAGTGTACATTTCTGTTTTTCTTTGTCTGTTTTCTTTGAGTTGCAGGACTGCAGTTTTATTGGTTTCCGTTTCCCTAGTTTTGCATGCACGGCTATATCGATCGATTTTTCGTATGAGCGCCTTGTGCGGGCCGAAGCGCCAAGGTTGGGTGGAATGTTTTGCAGTCACCGCAGATGAGAATGAGCCAGCAGATCAATGACCTGCAGCGAGGACAGCATAAGTAAAGAGCCCTGCTGTTCAATGTGAGATGCGTTCGTCGATAATGAACTGGATAAATCGCGACATGCCACGTGCAGTAAATATACTGGATGCAACACAATTATGCAGCTTTATCCGCTACTGAAGCGTGCTGTTCTGACCGTGAATGGACCGATAAGGGATGTTTTGTCGAATAATTCAGCGCAGATTGGTCCAGCGTCTGCGGACACACTTAACTTTGCCAAAGCGGAATTCACCAAAGCCTAAGAAGGTGCGCGTGATCTTTGCAGTAGATGCAGTGTGGATGCGGAGTGGACAGCATGATGTGGATACGGAGTGACAGCTGATGCTGATTGCGAAGTG